GGGGAATCTCCAAATACCAAAGAAAATTGTTTCAGATCGAGAGTAGGGCGGGAAGCCGAGGATAGCTCGGATTCAACCGCAGCGAGTTCGGCAGCAACTTCTCTCCTCTCACTCTCGAACGAAACTCTTCCATTCTCTAGTTCCCCAATCAGGTCTAGATTGCTCTTGAGCTCGGCTCGATCGGTTAGAAGTTTAGTCCAGACCTCTTCGTCTTTGGTAAACTTCGTAATAGATTGAATAAGTTGCCTACCGAATCCCCTCATCTCTTCTCGAGCGTTATGTTCGGCTTCAGCGATATCGCGAGCCCTGTTCCTAATTAAAAGCTCGGTCTTTTGATTCATTTCTTCGAACAAAGCTGTAGCCTCTTCTAGCTCAGACTCCAAGCGAAGAGCATCAGACCTCGCAGAATCTTTTTCAGCGTTCGCAATTCTGATGCGTTGCTCATTAGCTGCTAGAGTTTTCTTCATATTCTCGAAGGATGATTCGAGGGCTTTTGCCTGCTCAAGTCGCTCAGACTGATTGGCTAATCTAAGTTCATAAACCTCCTTCTTAGCCTTTGCGGTCTCTCTCATCGCTTGGTGAAGAAGGTTCTCATAATGGAAGATCATTCCATTAGTCTCCATAAACGCCTTCGGAGTAAAAAAAAAAACGTGTCATTAAGACAAAAAGTTTTTTTTTTTTAAGAAAAAGGGTTTGTAGAAATCAAAATCCAAAAAATCTGAACCTGTGATAGGTAGCAGGCTCGATTGATGTACATCTGACGGATTTCCGGCCTCCAAACCGAAAAAGGGGGAAGGGATGTTCCTTCCTTGGTTTGAAAACTTCGGAAGATGTCCCCAATCTCTTCTCCGCCTACAAAATAGAGGAGAATAGTAGATTGATAAAATAGCTGCAATCTGTAACAAGTCTAGCTAAGACTCGCGTTCTAAAAAAAAAACTTACCAGAAATCGAAGCGGGTAAAGGGTTTTGAGTCCTAACACTCAGTCCTTGAGACAAGGAAGCCTCCGGTCTCGGCTCATCGATTTCTTCTGGAATTACTCTGTCTCCCGGGATAGGGAGCTCAGAGTCTAAAGGTTCAGAAGAGGGGAAAACAGAATGCAAAAGGCTAGGGGCTCGTGGCGGAGAATCTAACGGTTTTGAGTCTCTCGTTTGATAAAGTATCCGAGTCTGGAGCCTTCCTCTTTGTGCAAAGAGAAGAAGTTTCTTCTCTCTCCCTCTCTTGTGCGGAAGAGCAAATAGCGGTGGCAACTGGAGGGTCGTTAGGAATATCGGCTCCATGAGAATCCACCGCACTTGACAAAGCCGCTTCTAAAGAACCGTCATCAACCAAGAGGGTCTTCCTGTGGAAGTTACCAACCCTGGAGATTGCAGCTATCCGCTTCTTTTTCCCAATTTCGGATAACTGATCCTTAAGAGCCTTAGTCTCGGCGAGCATTTTTCGCTTATCCCGAGCATTCAGGCTCGAGGCGTCTTTTTCTTCAGTAGGAGGATCGAGAGGGTGAGTTTGACCATCTTTAATAGCGAGCCCCGCTTTATGAATACGTTGAAGGGTGAAGGAGTTCCAATTTGTTTCACCCTCCGAAACGATTCGAAAGAAAGATAAGAAATCAACAGTTGGACGGGGAATAGTCATGTTCCCTGAAATAAAATGTTGAGTTAAGAATTTTATGTCTTTTGCACAAAAGCAGTAAAAGATAATAAAGGATTATTCTAACCAAGTTTGGGCGACCAATTTGGGAGGAGAAGACCGGAAAGTCCTTGGACGGAATGAGGATTAATTCGGAAAAAGAACCAGTATTTCCTCCAAGGCCCATCATTTAGGGGCATTCCGTCGATGAGGTTACGGTCAAAAATAGGATTCATGGAAAAAATACCCGCTGCCGCAGAATCACGGGCTCGAAATAGCCCTAAGAGTTTGCTGGTGGTGAGAGAAAACCCTGCCTCCGCCGAGACGGTCAGGGTGCTCAGGACGTACCGGAGGAATTTGGGAGCCATTTGGGGAAAAGCGATCCCTAAATGGAGGATATACAAAAGGAGAACTTCCGGTATGGGATAGAATAAACCACAACCCTTGAAATAGACTTCGTATGCACAACAGTAACCCTCTCGCACCATTTCCGGAGACTCATTTGGTCCAGGAAGAGAGAATTCTATTTCCTGAGGAATGTTACAAAGGCGACGAAGAGCGCCAAGGGAAGCATGGGTCGATTGAGACCTGAAATGCGGACCGAATTTATCTCCCGTTTGGGTGAAGACTTCGTCCCCTCTGGGAACAGGGATTCCTTGGCTGTCATCTTCATTGTCTGAAACGTAGACGGCTGGGGAAGACATTTTTTACTAAGAGATTTTTTTGGTTTGGTAAAAGCTTTCAGGGGTGAATGTACGCTGTAAAAGCCGTCGTTCCATTTAACCCTATTTAGCGGAAAACCGTCTCGAGAACATTGGGAAGTGGGACAGTTTTCCCCGCAGTATTAATATAAAATTAGGAAATCAATGATGACGGTTGTCAGGGAAATCAAATCATCTGACTATCCGAGATCGGCGTAACAGCGTAAAACATGGAGAAATTCCAGAAAGTTAAAGATCTCAAGTCATTAATTACTGTTTACTTAAGTCTTCCAAGCCGAGCACTCAGCTCGCAAGACTTGGGGGGCTAAATGTTGGGGTCGGATCCCACACACTTTCGGTAGGATCCACTTGGATCTGTCCACGTCATTATTACACAATAATCCTCTCGGATTTTTAGATACTTTATTGGACTTGACCAGTTGGGAGTTCGATTCAGTTTACCAAAGGAGTTCGATCTTTACCAGTACGGAGTTCGCTCTTATTCAACATACAGTTCGCATAGAGAAAGACCGAAGCGAGGAGAATATTGTTCGAGGCTCGCGGTAGCATCAAAGCACGGGAGTTCGGAGTCAGCAAGAAAGAGTTCGGAAGGCCCACGTGAAGCCCAAGACAAGTTCAAATTCAAGCTGTTTCGGTCAAAATGTAACTTATGTGATTAATGCGGATCAATATGATTACGAGTAGTAAATAGCCACAATAATCATGTTTTCTCTATTAAAACAACCTCAAACGCATGTGTTTGGGGAGAGACACGATCTTTTACTCCTTACTATCAAGCAATACTACATACTTTATCTCTGACAATTTCGCAAGGCTTTTTATATTTTCGTTCTTATAAAATTCCTTTATTTTATTCTTTTCTTGGTTAATTTCTCTTTCGAATTCTTGTATTCATCCATTGATTTTAGAGTTTTTCTCCACAAAAATACTTAAAGACAATCGAGTGTGAATCCTACATCCACAACAATGATCACCTTTCTCATGGCCTTGAAGCCTTCAATGCATGCTCCCAATGCGAAGAATAAGTACTTAAACCTCTTATCTTCATCCAATTCAACATATGAAACTGTACCTTGATTCATATTCTCCAACATGTGCATATAAGAATACACCATCTTATAACTGTCATCTGCGTACCACGTAGATCATAAGCAGCTAGCTTTTTCCCTCTATTTGCCGTGGAGTATGACACTTTTACACCGGCTCTTAGCTGGACCAAAGGAATGAGATTTTTGGGAGTTGGAGTGTCTATCAAACATGGAAAATCGTCACGTAAAACAGATGCAACTAGATGTTGTGTGCCTCTCCTTTTGTTTCTCATTGTACTTGTTTCTGACCGTAAGCACGTATGAATCTTGTTGTATGTTCTGACCGAGAAACTGTCTGAGTTCCCATCCTTCGCAGCTCGTAAAGACCACTTGCAACCCTTATCTACTTCTGAATATTTAACCACAAACAACATGGTATCCGACTTCACTATAATAAACTCAAAACAGTTCTTATGTGCAGTTTTGTCAACTAAATCTTTAACTGCTTGCTTGTTTTCAAATTCTTGACGTATGGTCACATTCATACCATCTTCCCATTCACGCTTTACAACAGGTGTAGCTTCAGCACCTTCACACACATCACTGTTATCTACCACTGCTCGTTCTTCGGATCTTTCTTCATAAAGAATAATATTGTCATCTCTCGCTTGCCTATTTTCCACCACCTCATCACGTTGAGATGACTCCCTTTCATCAAGAGTCATGTTCTCATCTGTCTCTCTACTACTGGAAATCAGCTCCTCATTACTTGCACAACCTACACTCCCTCGATCTTCTCTACCACACGGTTGCTCTTGTCCCTGATTTCCCTAGTTTATGATTTCCACATGCAAAACTTGGAATTGATCTTCATTCATTTCCAAATAACACATAACATCATCATCATCAGATATATATATTGGCCTTTTAGGATCCACTAGTTCTGGAACATAACTAAGTTTGAGCTTAGTGGTAGTTTCATCAACCTTCGCTTTTCTGCATATTTTGTTCACTAATGCAGAATAAGTAACCTCCTCAATAGATGTTTCCATTCTAAGAGATTGATGAACTTGTTCTCTTGATTTCCATCTTGGTTCATTTCCCCTTCTAACATAGTATCCCCCATAATCAAAAATTATGATTTTTCGACGATTATTATTCATTGTCCCTGAAATAGAAAAAAAAAACTCACATTAAAATCGTCCAACTGGTACCAAGTTGTACCAAAAAGTCCCAGAAAATAGTCTAACTTGTAACAGTTGTACCATATAAGTTATACCAAATACTACTAGTTCTACCGTATAAGTTATACCAAATACTACTGGTTGTACCCGTACCAGTTGTACCAATTACTACTAGTTGTACTACATCCACAAAATCACTACTCCAGTAATTTCAGACTATTCCCGACTTGGTTCGATTGAAGTGTTATAATGCGTACATTATCAATAGAATTTGACCCATATCGAGTAGAAGAACAAATAAGACTGAATCTAATAAGCATTCAAGATAAATCTTAGAACTCTAGACAAAAATCCCTAATTGAATACACAACATCCTATATAATTCACGAGTTTTAAACAACTTAAATTTAACAATGGGAATCAAATTGGACAAATTACCTCAATGCCGGACTGGTTGCGTTGATGGAGGAGCTCTCTGTCGAGTTTCTAAGCTCTTCTTTTGGGGGAGAATTTGGGGAGGACTGTCCCGACGAAGAAGATGAGGAATGAATGGGAGAGGGAGTGTGGAGTGTATTGGTGGGGGCCACATGTTTTTTTTCTTCTTTTTAATTGAATTTCGATTTATTAAATCAGGGGCAAGAAGGGAAAAATGTGGTCAACCCAGAGTCAAAGGGTACTAAGAAGATAGAAGGGCATTGTTGATTTGTAATAGAATTAAGGATTTTTAGTTGAAAATTTAGGTATTTACTAAAGAGTCATAGAAAATTCCATCTGATTTTGAGAATGAGGATAAATTGTTTTTAACTCATCAACTTGCAATATATAATCAGGAAAAAAGAGAAATGTTTATAAAGAAATGTTTATTACTAATTTTATTTATATAAAAGGTGATAGAGGACTAAGAAGTTTTAGATTTTATTTTTTAAAGTAAGCATTTTTCTTAAACATCCAAAATCCAAATTCAATAGTTTCACATGTGTTTAAAGGGAGACTTTAGAAATGTTCTTCCTTTATATGCAAAGAAACCATACTCACCATCTTTTGGATGGAGAAATATATTTGGATTTTAATCTTATCGGTCCCTTTGGGGAGAATAATTTTTTGAAAAACCCTAACTTATTCTCACTACCCTCTCTCATTCGCAATATATTCATAAACCAACTCTACCCTTATCCCTCACTTTATCTATTTGATTATACATTTAATTTATCTATTTGACAAAAGATGGATTGGAAAAGAAGGATTGTTAGAAACAATTTCAAAAGGGTGGCAATTAGAGGATAATTTGGGGGAAGGAAATTTTGTTAATAAAGTATCAAATTGTAGGCGGGCAATCTCGAAATGGAGGAAACAATTGACTCCTTACGGTCGGAAAACAATAGAAGAGCTTAAAGCTGAGCTAGAAAGAGCGCAAAATGATGATAGCCAACCACCGGAAGTAGTAACAGAGTTAACTCTTCGGTTGCGAGAGGCTTATAGAGAAGAGGAGATGTATTGGTACCAAAAAAGTCGGAGTTTATGGATGCGTCTGGGGGACAATAATTCCAAATATTTTCATGCTCAAACGAAACAACGCCGAGCTCGGAATAGGATTGTTGGTCTTCATGATGAAAATGGAGTCTGGCTGGATGAAGAAAAAGATATCCAATATATTGCGGTGTCTTATTTTCAAAATCTTTTTAAAACTACGAAACCAAAGGATTTTGAGGATTCATTAAAGGAGGTCAAAACTACTATCACAGATCAAATAAACGACTTTTTAACGGCTCCAGCTACTGAAAAGGAGGTGCGAAATGCCCTTTTCATGATGCATCCGGAGAAAGCACCAGGTCCAGATGGGATGACAGCTTTGTTTTTCCAGAAGGCTTGGAACACGGTAAAATCGGATCTTCTTCAGTTGGTGAATTCCTTTCTACAGGAAGACAGTTTTGATAAAAGGCTAAATATGACAAACATTTGTCTTATCCCAAAAACGGAAAGACCAACTAGGATGACGGAGCTGAGACCAATCAGTCTTTGTAATGTAGGTTACAAAGTCATCTCGAAGTTACTTTGTCAAAGACTTAAGACGGTGTTACCAAATCTTATATCTGAGACTCAATCGGCTTTTGTTGAAGGAAGATTGATTTCAGATAATATTCTTATAGCGCAGGAAATGTTCCATGCTCTTCGTACAAATCCGTCTTGTAAAGGAAAATTTATGGCGATAAAAACGGATATGAGCAAGGCCTATGATCGGTTAGAATGGGACTTTATAGAAAACTTGTTAAGAAAAATGGGTTTTTGCGAGAAATGGATAACATGGATGATGTGGTGTATAAAATCAGTCCAATATAAGGTTTTACTCAACGGACAACCTAGAGGACTGATTTTGCCTGAACGTGGACTACGGCAAGGAGATCCTCTATCCCCATACATATTTATTCTTTGCACAGAGGTTTTGATTGCTAATATTAGGAAAGCGGAAGAAATTAAACTAAGGCAATAACTGGTATTAAGGTGGCAACTCCGAGTCCAGCGGTGTCTCATTTGCTTTTCGCAGATGATAGTTTATTCTTTTGCAAGGCAAATATCCAGCAATGTGGAATGATTTTAAGTATTCTTCGGCAATACGAGTCAGTGTCGGGTCAACAAATTAATTTTGACAAATCATCTCTCCAGTTTGGTCATACCATTGGAGATGATGTACAAAATGAGGTGAAATTGGTTTTAGGTATTATAAAAATAGGCGGCATGGGATCATATCTAGGACTACCGGAAAGTTTAGGTGGATCGAAAACAAAAAATTTCTCTTTTGTAAGAGATAGGCTACAGAGTAGGATAAATGAATGGACGGCTAAATTTTTATCTAAGGGAGGGAAAGAGGTGATGATTAAATCGGTGGCAACTGCGTTACCAACTTATGTTATGTCCTGTTTTAAACTCCCTAAAACAATTACATCGAAACTGACAAGTGCAATAGCAAAGTTCTGGTGGATTAAAAATGGACAAACAGGAGGAATGCACTGGCTTGCATGGGATAAAATGTGTCACAGTAAAGCTGATGGAGGGATATGATTCCGGAATGTGGATGACTTTAATACAGCTTTATTAGCCAAGCAATTATGGCTTCTGATCACGGTCCCTAATTCTCTTTTTGCGAAGGTATTTAAAGGACGGTACTATCGGAAGTCAGATCCAATGGATCCAGTCAAATCATATTTTCCATCCTATGGATTGAGAAGCATTGTCTCAGCTAGATCTCTGGTTAATAAAAGACTAATTAAAAGGGTTGGATCGGGTGAGTCCATTTCAGTATGGAAGGACCCATGGATTCCATCTCAATTCCAAAGACCAGCAAAAAGTAATGGTTCATTTTCAGACCCTTTACTTCAAGTTAAAAATCTTATCGATACGAGGACAAATTCCTGGAACATAGATAGTTTAAGCGCTATCGTTGAACCAGAGGATGTTCAGCTGATTAATGCTCTTCCCTTGGGAAAGCTTTCACAAAGTCTGGTACATACACGGTTAAATCAGGTTATCATACAGCTAGACTTGAAAATACAAAGGATTCTAATGTAGGTGTTTTTGGACCAGATATTAAACCTTTAAAGGCTTTTACATGGAAGATAAAATGCCCTCCGAAATTGAGGCATTTTATGTGGCAAGTATTAACTGGGTGTGTTTCGGTTACATCAAATCTTCGGAAACGCGGGGTTAGTTGCGATATAGGTTGTGATAGATGTGGAGATTCCGAGGAAACAATTAATCATGTCCTTTTCGAATGTCCACCTGCACGCCAAACATAGGCTTTATCTATGATTCCAACGCCCCCAGATGTTTTTCCGTTACGGTCATTATATGCTAATATGGATTATTTATTTTGGCGAATTCCATCGGATATTTACAAAGCTACGTTCCCATGGATTATTTGGTATTTATGGAAAGCTAGAAATGATAAAGTTTATAATAACGTAGATCAAAGTCCCCTAGAGATTTTACGGGTAGTAGAGAATGAAGAGCAAGCTTGGCAGCTAGCTCAGGTGGAAATCCAGGAGGGTATTTCCGAATCAGTGGTTGGGAATACCCACTCACACAACAGATGGGATGAACCAAGGCAATCCCGTAATGGACTACGGTGTTATATAGATGGGTCTTGGAAAGAGAGTGATCGATTTTCAGGGCTAGGGTGGTTTTGTTCAAACACGAATGATGGAACGCAAGAGATGGGAGCTGCTAATCTTCGAAGAAGCTTAACCTCATTACACACAGAGGTAGAAGCGTTAATTTGGGCGATGAGATGTATGATCGGCCAAGACAAGAGAGAATTAGCTTTCCTTACAGACTGCTCAGACCTGGTGAAGATGGTGTCTTCCCCGCACGAGTGGCCAGCGTTTGCAACATACTTAGAGGCGATTCAGAGTGACAAAGAGGAGTTTGATGTATTTTCATTATCTTTAGTTTCTCGAAATGCAAATGTAAAAACGGATAAACTGGCTCGAACTGTTCATACCCAGCCGAATCTTATCACTTATGTAAACAATTTTCCACAAAATTGGCTTATTTGAGCCAATCTAATATAGCTGTTGCCAAAAAAAAAAAAAAAAAAAAAAAAAGATTATACATTAATTTATTACCAACAAATTATTTAATCAACCAATCAGATATCTTCTCTCTTTTCTCTCATGAAAATCCAAACCTAACAAATGTCTCCTCCTTTTACGACATAAATCCTCTTTTCTCACAAATGTCTTCTCCTTTTACGACATAAATCCTCTCTTCTTCTTCTTCTTCTTCTTCTTCTTCTTCTTCTTCTTCTTCTTCTGCAAATGATATTCGAGGTACCCCAGAGGATGGTTTTAGGCTTGTGCATTCTTAGAGAAGATGAATCATGGTACCGTTTCATATGTGCAAGTGGATGATGAACAAAAGTTTAAATACATGTTTTTCGCATTGGGAGCTTCCATTTATGGCTTCCGAGTCATGAGAAAAGTTACATGACTTGGGCTCAAAGTATTATTGGATCGAGCTTAGGGTTTTGGCGTACACAAGGACAATTTATCCGGTTTCCCATAATTGTCAGTGGGTTCTTCCTGAGGAGATAATGCAACAATTTGCCTATCCTCCGGATTATGAGGTAAAACAAGGAAGAATGTAACACCCCACTCCCACATTTTTGGGCCAATTTGTTTTGGCATTATGATGGTGCCGGCCCGATCTCTCTTTAGTAAAAAAATGACAAGGGTTTGGTAACGTGTGAATATATATTGGTGTATGTGTCACCCTCTTCAGGGAAGCCGTCAAAGAGAAACGTGAAACCTAAACCCATAAGCAGACCATCACTTAATCATTGAGACTTGAGGAGAAAGAGAACGATGAGAAGAGAATGGTATCGTGGAGGAGAAACGGAGATGGCGTAGACGTGCGGAAGAGATGGATCATCACCACCGTGAAAGCCAAACATGGGGAGAGAGAGATCTGGATAAATTCGCTAATTAGGAGTGGACACGGAGAAGATTAGAGCAAATCATAGAAGGGGGATGAAGCAAAAGAAGAAGATGGTTAGTAAAAAGATGTCAAATCCGAGTTCAGGTTTTGTGACGCTCACTCCTGTCGGACCAGAGAGATTTAGATCATGAATAATGCGTCTATGGAAAGATCTTACTTTCAAGAATCCACAGCATTCTTATACCCTACCTTCATTTTCGTCTCGTATTTTTCTATAATTTTGAGGTTTTCAATTCGATTCTCATTGTTGTTTTAGGGTATCAATTCGATTTTCTATAATTTTTAGGTTTTCAATTCGTTTTTCTTATAGCAAAGACCAAAGACTACTCCTAAGTCTGATGATGTCTACCTCAAGCTTTTCGTTAAGAAAACAAAACAAGGAGAGGTCTAGAACAGTTTAGGACTTCTGCTTGACAGTACGATTTTTTGCCTTCTCTTCCTGGGATATTTCTTAAATGTTCGAATTCCAGTTTTGGGTTTTAATTTTGTTGTTCTACATTGTGATTGCATTTGAATTTCATGATTGGTTTTTGATAATTTTGCCTCTTTGATTGCAAATTTGGGATTTTGAACACTACAACCTTTTCTTTTCTATGGAAGCCGAAGAAAGGTTGAGTGACGAGGATGACGATGACGGAGAGACGTTAGAGAACAAGATGCTATGGTGGGAAATGTAACTATGTTTGGCTTCTTCTAACATTCTTGATGACAATGAGGTATATATATCTTTTGCAAATCTTTTGATATTTTCCTTAATGTTTAATAGGTTGATTCGAAATTTCAGGTGATAGTGGATAACGAGGCGTTCCATAAAGCAACTGGTGATTATGAACATGACTATGAATTGAATGAAGAAATCGGAATGTGTTGCAGATTGTGTGGTCATGTAGGATCTGATATAAAACATGTCACTGCACCTTTTGTAAGTGGAAAAGACAACATCATATTTACTTATTCAACATTTTGCCATTCTCTAGCTTACCAAAGGATGCATCTTTATGACTTAGAAGTAATCTTCTTCCTATATTTTGATCTTCTAGCGGATCTCTTTCATTACTAAGCTGTATTTTGTTGCAGATGCTTACTCTTCATTTACATTTATGGAGGATATTGATTGTATACTTCTTGAAGATAAACATTTTGTTTTACTGAACTCTATTCTTTTTGGTAACTAGGATACACGAATGAAAGAAGAAGCATTGGTGTGATTGGGCTTAGCATCCACACAAACTCATGATGAGTGCATTAGAAGCTTGATCAATCAAGGTAACCTCTTGTTTTGAAAGATATATTAGTTGGTTTCTGTTCTTTTTTATTTGCCATCAATGTAAAGAAAATGTGTGTGTGTGCCTATTAAGCAACATTATAATTGATTTTTTGATTCTTTTTTGCATGAATTGTCTGAAAATTTTATCTTTTGGTTAGTGTTGCAGAGATTATTTCGGTGATTACAAATGATGGACTCAACATTGTGGTATGTTATTTTCTCTTGTGTGTTATATGCTTGGTCACTCGAAATATTAAATCAAGTATATAAGCAGAGAGAGAGAAATGTGGATTTTTAAATTTTCAGGGAGTTCTTAAAGGTTTTGACCAAGCTACAAATATAATCCTCCCCGCATTATGATGTGAGTCAAATTAAGACCTAAGACTACTCTCTCAAATAAGAGATCGTGTGTAGCACTTTAGGGTCGAATTCCACAAAGCTCTCGTGTTCACACAATAGACTAACATGTTTTGATTTAAGCTAAACAGAAATATTAAAAATTAAATAAAAGCAAAGCAATCAAATAAATCGGGTTGAAAACAGATGAGGAAAACGTCAGGCTTAGGGATTTCTCTGAAAATAAATAAATAGTAGATCTAGCAAATTAATTAGGATTATTAACGAACCGTTCTAGAACTCAAAGCACCAATGTATAGCCAACCACCTCTCGTATGAATTGACTAACTAAACCTAATATCAGGAAGTTCCACCTCTCGAATGTAAACTCGTAGAATTAGACTAGCATTAATAACAGGTTTGATATGTTCACAGATATTCCTAGACCACCTCTCGAATGTATCTAGAAATCTCTGCCCACCTAAGATATTCCAGTGTTAGATGACCTCTCGAATCTACCTATTATCCTATGATCAAATTTTAGGTGATCAAGCTAGAATTAGCATTAAGAACAACCTAAGGTGAAGAACTATACAGATTTTATCCTAACATGTTATCAATCTACTAATTCATCTAAATCCCTAATGAGAATCCCTAAACCTAACAAGCAAACTACTCAGACATGGAGAATGAAACAAATAACATGATTGAATAGAATTGCATTAATAAAATCAAGAGAAGAAGTAAAAGAGTTTAAGAAATCTTCTCTGGAGGAGCTCTCTCCAATTATCTCCCAAAGGGTTCAAGCTCCCAAGAATTACAATAGAATAAAAGATTTGATCCCTCTCTAAAGAAAAACCCTAAAAACTATTTGTAAAGTCGCCAAAACGTGCAGGGACTAAAGTTGCAAATAGGGAAGTCTTCTAGGTTGATTCTTCAGGCTTTAAAACTCTTAAACCGTCGAGACTTTTGCTGGGCCGCGTGTGGTGTCGAGCGATACCAAGGGGTGTCGGTCGACACTCATGCCTTGGTTCGACACCGATTTCGTCTCCTTAGCTCTAAGTCTTCGGTTTAGCTCCAGAATGATTCTTTTTCTCCAAATTTGTCCCGAACGTGTAAAAACCTGAAAAGACTCAAAAACACTCTAGAAACAACGAAAAGACTCTAAAAACAATACATATATCACGGCTAAAATCGGTAAAATCCGTGATATATCAACTCCCCCAGACTTAGCTTTTGCTTGCCCTCAAGCAAAACACAAAAACCGAACCCGTGGAAGAAGTTTGAAAACACAGAAACTCCCAATTTCTCTAGCCTATTACCTTGATCATTCAAACCAAATCCAAATGCCTAGCAGATCGCATCAAATCCTAACCACCATGTAATTCTCCGCAAGCATTCTCAACATTCCAAATTCCAAACCAAATTCCACAACTATATCCTATATCCCTCATCGCATAAATCTCATCAATAAAATCAGTACTCAAGAACCTTCTAGACTCATTCCCGTACTATACCATGATAAATCAACCATTTTACACACTTAGGTACTCTTTCTCTCCCCCAGACTTATTCTTTTTCAAACCTTTTTTTTTTAAGCTTCAAAGGTGTAGGCGAATAATGGTATCATCGGAAATTTTCCTAACCTCGCTTCCAACCTTCGTGTGATCATTCCTCTTGAAGTAAAATAATGAGATCACGAAAAATTTTCCTATCTCTTTACTCCAAAAGAAAATCATCTCAATTTTTTTTTTTTTTTTTTTTTTTAGAATAAGGGAGAGGAGTACCATTCTTTTTCCACATTGGTCTCATTTATCAGGTATGAACGAGGAGTCAAGTTCTACGAATACTAACCGTATTGACGAGGTATAGATCATGAACTTTGCTCAGGCTTTAGCGGATTGTGTTGGAAACGTGGATGTCCTCTGGTCTATCGATTAACTCTCTGGATTTTCCATTAGTCGGATTGATTTGAATCTGCAGCATTAAACTAACCAGGCAATAATCTAGAGAAAAAAATCATAATTTCCAACAAAAATTTTGACTCAATAAACGAATCAAAAGAAAAAGAAAAATAAGAATAAGACTCAAAAAGAAAAACGTAGTTAGTAACTGCCTCCCCCAGACTTAAACGACACTAAACCCAGTGGCATTCAAACCCGAAGTTGGCAAAAAATAATAAAAAGAAAAATAAAAAGAAAATAAAATAAAAATGAAAAACATACCAGTGGGTTGCCTCCCACTAAGCGCTTATTTTCAGTCATTAGCTTGACTATGTCGGGATTCTGGCATCAGGTGGATCAGAAGGTGGCAGTAGATACTTCCGGGAAAAACATCTCATCATCCAAGGTGGTGTGTAAGCAGTCGGTGCCTGAGGTTGTCCAAGGAAGTAAGTGACATCAGCAAGGCGGGATTTAGGTATGGGTGGGATACTCCTTTCTCCTGCACAATCATCAAAAGAACGAACAAGCGCTCGACGGGAAACTCGTGGCTTGCTTAACCGTGAAACAGTCATGAAAATTTTAAAAGTCTTATTGATCAAATCAGGAGGTTTAGGTGGAGAACGTGAATACCTCAGCTGTTTAGGAGGAGGATGGAGTGAGAGAGGTGCAGTGACAACAGTTCCCGGACTTGCAGCAATGATTTCAGCCCGAAAAACAGCTTTGACTGACAACTCTGATTCAGCTCGTCTGGGGTGTCGACCGACACTGGTAGTGGTGTCGATCGACACCAGTGCATTGTGTCGACTCTTCGTGTCGCCTGAAAGATGGTGTGGTCGACAATCGTCCGTCTGGTCGAGTCTGGTGTCGACCGACACCCTGGTGGTGTCGATCGACACTGAGCCTGCAGCTCGAATTTCTGTACTGTTTCTGCAATGTGGTTCAGCAATCTGCAGCAATTTATTACCGATCTGTGCTTCATCCTGGATCCTAGTGCTGAACAGATGGTCACCACTCCAATCTTCATGGTTAGAAGCTTGCAACTTCACTTGCTCAATATAATCCAACTCTTTGACATACCCAGCAGTAATGTCTGTGGATATGGAGCAATCTAGCACAAAGCTTTCTGGATCAGGTAACTTCTCTAGGATGTTACACTGAATCATGGCACTGACTAATTCAGAGATAGCCATTGACTGCCTCTTGTTCGGCTTCTTCTCTGGATCCTGATACACCAAGATAGCACTGATGTCTTTTGTAAGCAAGCTAACATCCTCAGCTCTAATGCCATTAGTAATCATCTTCTCGACATACTCTTGAAGTGGATCTTGGAGGTTACAGCAATCATCAAAAGGTAAAGCATATAGAATCGAATCCAGCATCAACCTGTAGTATTGTTCCCGAATCTCTTGCTCTGACTTCTTAGGTGGCGGTGGAAACACAAGAGCATATGGTGCAGTCCGTGTCCAGTGTCGATCGACACTAGGTGAGTGTCGGTCGACACTACTGTCTGGCGTCGACTCCTCTGTGTCGAGCTCGCTCGATTCTGCTTCGTCAAACGTCGATTCTGCTTCTGTACCGGAGGAGTGTCGATCGACACCCAGGTGGTGTCGGTCGACACTAAGACTGCGTGTCGAGAGATCCTGTAAATCAATGTCGAGGTAGGTCGATTCTGCTTCGTAACAGTGTGATTTCTTGGATTTCGGAAATGGTGTCGGTCGACACCAATTGGTGTCGGTCGACACTGCCTCTGCAACAACAAAATCAACATCATTCTCCACAACTGCAACGAACTCATCTTCACTTTTCTTCAAAACAGCATGACAAGTAGTCGTGAGGTTACTCTCAATCCTTCCAAGAGGGGATATCTCTAAGATTCTTTGCTGACTTTCCTGAATCTGTTTCGGCATTAATTCCATCTTACTCACAAAAGTAGGTGGAGATGGGGCTTGGTAAGAATAAGAACAGTAATTCCTGGTGAAATTGTTCAGAAAAGCCATCTTTGTCTCCTGCCAAGTTGTCAAAGATCCCGGAATCAACTCCTTAAGCCAAGAAGCTGCTTCTCCAGCAAGAGAGTATGAGAAAAGCTTGCGATGTAAATAGTCCTCTGAAACAACCTGTGCCTTCATGATTGAAACCAAATCTTCAAACCTCTCGATGTGATCCATTGGTTGTTCATGTGGAAGACCGTGAAACGGGTGCTGACTCACAAGAGTATAGAATGCAGGTTGGAGACCTAAATCGTCACTTCTTTCAAACGCAGTGGGTCTAATTGCACGCCGATTCTCATAGAACAGGCCGGGGCTGTTGTAGTCACCAAGAGTCATCTGACGACCATCTGCTCTGTTTACCCCATGGTGTCGAGTGACACCCAGCTGGTGTCGATCGACACCCCGTGCGATTTCTGGTATCATGTATCCATGTTCAGCAATTCTCTGACCATCCTCGTTGTATGCCTGACCATCTCTGTCTCGTAACACTCCAGCAGCATCAGGTCTGAGTATCAGCATCATGTTGTTTCGTTCGAATTCCTTAAACTCCTGTCACAAGAAGAAAAAGAACGCGTAAGTTAAAAAAGTAAAAGAAAAGTTTAGACTAAATTCTAGACCTAATCTAATGGTGAAGCGAAGAGAACCCCGGCAACGGCGCCAAATTTGATGTGAGTCAAATTAAGACCTAAGACTACTCTCTCAAATAAGAGATCGTGTGTAGCACTTTAGGGTCGAATTCCACAAAGCTCTCAGTGTTCACACAATAGACTAACAGGTTTTGATTTAAGCTAAACAGAAATATTAAAAATTAAATAAAAGCAAAGCAATCAAATAAATCGGGTTGAAAACAGATGAGGAAAACGTCAGGCTTAGGGATTTCTTAGAAAATAAATAAATAGTAGATCTAGCAAATTAATTAGGATTATTAACGAACCGCTCTAGAACTCAAAGCACTAATGTATAGCCAACCACCTCTCGCATGAATTGACTAACTAAACCTAATATCAGGAAGTTCCACCTCTCGAATGTAAACTCCTAGAATTTGACTAGCATTAATAACAGGTTTGATATGTTCACAGATATTCCTAGACCACCTCTCGAATGTATCTAGAAATCTCTGCCCACCTAAGATATTCCAGTAATAGATGACCTCTCGAATCTACCTATTATCCTATGATCAAATTCTAGGTGATCAAGCTAGAATTAGCATTAAGAACAACCTAAGGTGAAGAACTATACAGATTTTATCCTAACAGGTTATCAATCTACTAATTCATCTAAATCCCTAATGAGAATCCCTAAACCTAACAAGCAAACTACTCAGACATGGAGAATGAAACAAACAACATGATTGAATAGAACTGCATTAATAAAATCAAGAGAAGAAGTAAAAGAGTTTAAGAAATCTTCTCTGGAGGAGCTCTCTCCAATTATCTCCCAAAGGGTTCAAGCTCCCAAGAATTACAATAGAATAAAAGATTTGATCCCTCTCTAAAGAAAAACCCTAAAAACTATTTATAAAGTCTCCAAACGTGCAGGGACTAAAGTTGCAAATAGGGAAGTCTTCTGGGTTGATTCTTCGGGCTTTAAAACTCTTAAACCGTCGAGACTTTTGCTGGGCCGCGTGTGGTGTCGAGCGACACCAAGGGGTGTCGGTCGACACTCATGCCTTGGCTCGACACCGATTTCGTCTCCTTAGCTCTAAGTCTTCGGTTTAGCTCCAGAATGATTCCTTTTCTCCAAATTTGTCCTGAACGTGTAAAACCCTGAAAAGACTCAAAAACACTCTAGAAACAACGAAAAGACTCTAAAAACAATACATATATCACGGCTAAAATCGGTAAAATCCGTGATATATCACATTAAATTATGCTTTGTCCAAGCCACCCAAAGAGAACCTGAGAGAGTAAATAATTTCCAAATTAGGCGATACGCAAAAGCCCGCGACACATCTCGCAAACGCCTCAAGCCGAGATCCCCTTCAATTTTTGGTCGACAAATATCTTCCCAAGAAACTTTAACTCCCGTTGCAGTATTTGGATTTCCCGACCATAAAAAAGCCTTGCATAATCGCTCAATCTCATTAAAACATCTCTGCGGTAGTCGGAAGACTGAGCACCAAAAACCCGAAATGCTTGAGATTACAAAGGATATTAGTTGAAGACGACCAGCATACGATAAGTGTTAACTTGTCCATGATAGGAGCCTTTTTCGGATTTTGTCTACCAATGGAGCATAGTCGTGCGCTGTCATTGACCGTGTAGTAAGAGGTAGACCCAAATATCGAATAGGTAGATTTTCAACCTGCAAACCATGCACCAACGCTTCCTGAATTAGCGCTTGTTTGTTTCGACCTCCTGCAAATAGAGCGGACTTTGAGGCATTAATATGCAATCCTGAAATATGCGCAAACTCCTTAAAAACTCGGAGAGTTTCTCGAAGAGATCCCGGGGACCCATCGGTGTATACCAATATATCATCCGCGAAACTTAAGTGGGTAACGGGCACTTGATCACAGCGAGGGTGACGACCAATCCGGCCAGTTTGGGCTGCCTTATTAAGGAGTCGAGACAACACATTCTGGACCATAACGAATAGGGTGATAAGGAACAACCTTGGCGGACTCCTCTATGGCTCGCAAAGAACCCCTCTAGTTCTCCATTGACAACTACCGAGAAGTAGACCGTAGAGATGCAAACATATATCCAATTGATGAACAAGTCCGGAAAGCCAAGAGCTCTAAATATCCCAACAATGAATGGCCATTGCACCGTATCAAATGACTTTGAAATGTCGAATTTGATGGCGCTGCGTGGAGAGAGTGTGTCTTTGTGGTAGTCTTTAACGAGTTCCGCTGCCAAATGAACATTTTCCAAAAGAAGACGTCCTTTTACAAAAGCACTCTGGTTTGGCTCTATGAAGTCCGGTAGTATAATCTTCAAGCAATTTGCCAGAATCTTTGATACCACCTTATAAAGCATATTACAACAAGCGACAGGTCGGTAATCTTTCATTGTCGGAGAGCTTAAATCTGGATTTTTCGGTATAAGGGTCAGCAAGGTCGCATTCACTGATTTTGGCATGAAACCGTATTGGAAAAAAGATTGCACGGCGACGACGAAGTCTGATCCAACAATATTCCAGGCTGCAACATAAAATTCTTGAGAAAATCCATCTGGCCCCGATGCCTTTCCTGAAGGCAGGGAGAATAGAGCTTTTTTTATTTCTTCTTCTGTAACAGGAGCTACTAACTGTAAGCATTGTTCGCGGGAACATCTATAGTCCAGCAGGTTCGAGAGGAATTCCGAGGAGTCTCCACGAAATCCGGGTCCTCACTTTGGAGAAAGTCCCGAAAATGACGAGCTGCCTCTGCTTTGATGTCTTCGGGTCTGGTCAAAATCGTTCCATTAGCTAGAGTGAGGCTTCTAATGGCATTTCTTGAAGCATTTGAACCGTACATCTCTTTATTATAACCATTTATTTCAGTTACAAAATTTTTTGCTATCCTTATAAATAGGATTTTAATCTCATCGGCCCCCTGTCCTCAAATGATTCTCTAGTTAGCCCCTGTTCTAAAAATAAATAATTTAAGTGTTTATTTTTATTCAAAAAGTTAGTAAAAGACAATAATATTTGTGGGTTTCAACTTATTTACCGACCCAACCTAAGTTTTGGATCAAATATCCAATAGCTTTGGGCCCCGTTTCGGATCCACTCCTTTTTTCCCAAACGACAAATCCTAATTCTATCAAAATCAAACCCTAACTCTCCTTCGTCTTCCTTTTCTCTCAACCGCAGACGAAAGCTTTTCCGATTTCGTTTTCTTCTTCTAGATCCTCTTCTTCTTCTCTCTTATCTTGTTTCAGTCGATACTCTTTCATCTTCTTCTTCTTTCGTCTTCACTCGTTTCTCTGGATACTCCTTGAATCCGAGATATCCGCCGTGAATCCGAGAAATCCACCGTGAATCTGAGGAATCCGCCGTGTCTTCTCCGCTGTGTCTGCTCTTTGTAAGATTTCTTTTGTTTGATCTGTATATTTCGATTGATTTGTTAATTTTGGTTTGATTAGGGTTTGATTTCTCTTTTAGAGTTTAATAGGGTTCGATTGATAAAGGTTTTGGGCTTAATAAAGGTTTGATTTTGTTTGAAACAGATGAATTATGGATGTGTTTTGTATTGAATTCGGTTTTTTTTATGGATATAATTCAGATTTTATGTTTACAATTTGGGGATGGATTTGAAATACAATTTGGATTTGAAATTGCCTCTGTTAATAGCCATTGTGACTAGTTGTATGATTTCTCTATATGTTCGGATTTGAATAGATTCAAATTGTGTTTATTGGATTTGAATATATTTCAGATTACTTATAATTATGTAGATATCTAATTAGATTGTTGTTGCAGGTTGGTTTACAATGCCTATTACCAGAAGAGGAGCTTCTACTTCTAGAAGTGAACCATCTTGTTCTAGAAGTGAAAAATCTGCCGAGCTTAGAAGTCCCAAAAGACGAAAGCAATCGGATCCAAAGCATTCAGAGATAGGAGCTGCAGTGGATGATGTCATGGAAGATCAAGTAGTCGAACCATCTCCGGAGAATGTCGTGTCTGACCATGAGGTAAGTAATAAACATGTTTGATTGTATTTAGTACAATTGAGTACAACTATGTTGTGGAACTGAAATTATCTGTGTTTGTATTGCAGGAAATAGAGGAGAGGGATGAGGATGAGGCTTTACCTCTTCAGCCTGAGAGTTTTTTCTTTAGTCCTGAGGAGTATGATAAGACTTTGAAGATATCAACAAGGTGTACCATTGGTAACACGCTGGATGCCATTAGTAAGAAGCTGGGTGACAAAGAAATGAAGTGGTTTAGAGATGAGAAGCAGTTCAAGCACGTCTTTCACTTGGTTAGGAAAGGGAAAAATAAGCTGCAAGGTATGTTCATGCTTCTTATGCGGACTGCTTCAACACAGAAGAAGAGGGAAAGCTGGTTTGTGGTGAATGGCGTTCCAATACGCTACTCGATGAGGGAACATGCTTTGATCACTGGATTTGACTGTCATGACTATGCATCAGATCATAATGCAAGCAGTTTTGGTAGTTATGCCTTTGTGGAGAGGGTCTTTGGAACAAGAAGTGTAACAGTGAGCGATGTGGAAAAGATGCTAGAGTCAATGGAAGGTGTGTGTGATGGAGATCGATTGCAGGTGGCGGTCTTATTCTTCTTATGCACGATAGTAAGAGGAGGGAGAAGGTATAATAGCATACCTCCATTTGTTTTGAAGATAGTGAATGATTTGGAAGAGGTTAAAAAGTTTCCTTGGGGGCGGCTTACTTTTGAAGACACTATATCTGAGATTGATCGCTTGATGAAGAAGCGGTTAAATGGCAAAGTGAAAGTTGACCATTTGTTTGCCGGGTTCATAGTTCCTCTTGAGGTAAAATTCTGTGCTTTTCTATAATAAGTAAATCTGTTTTGGATTCTTTAAGATATGTGATTGTGTAAATGTGTATAGGTTTTGGCGTTTGAATGCATTCCTAAGCTGTCCAAACAATTTCAAGAAGGTGTAATAGGCGCAAATGATAGATGTCCACGGATGTGCAAGAAGAAATTTAAAGACAATGGAATGACAGGTTTTCCACTTGAAGAAGTCAACCAAGCGCTTGGAACAACTAAGGTAAAGAATGTGTATGAATGTGTTTATGTATTTTTATGTATGAATGTGTTAACCTCTGTTTTCTTGTTCTTTGCAGGACATAATTAGTATCCTCCAACCATCAGCGGTTGAGGAAGGTCTTTTGCTGGAGATTATGGAACGAGCTGAACCCGAGGATTCATTGGACCCTATTGCAGATGCGTGGACTGAGCGTCTCGACGTACAACAGAAGAAGATTTGTTGGGAGGATCTTCATAAGGTTGATGTGTATTATCGAGGATGTGGAGAGGGACATATTCCAGCAGCTTCACATAGGGAAGAGCCGCAGCAAGATGTTCCAGCAGCTTCACAGAAGGAGGAGGAGCTGCTTTTACCTTATTTGGTGAAGAGGATGGTGAAAACAGAGGTTGCCAAAGCTATGAAGGACGTGTATAAGAGATTGGAAAAGCTTGAGAAGAATGGTGTTGGAGGTTGTTTTGAGAAGAATGGTGTTGACACATTTGATGATGAGACAGGTTTTGACACTACAAGAAAACATGGATTTAGCGACTACAAGAAACGTCACTACAGAGTCGCTAAACACATAATAACGACTAATTAGCGACTAATAAACGTTGTCGCCGAACACTGCGTCGCTAAAATAACTAGTAGCCTAATAGTCGCTACATAGCGACCATTATGCGACAACTATTTTAAGTCGCTTTTACGTCGTGTATGAGTCGCTAAAGTGGCGACTGTTTTGCTACTAATAAGTCACTATTGGGCGACTATTTTGGCGACCAATAGGTGACTACGGAATTGACAAAAAGACACTACAAGGCGACTGTTGTATGAATGTTTTAGTGACTGAATTGCTATCGTTTTGCGACTTATTGGAGGTTTATTTATCAATTTTGCCTGGTTATTTTGATTCCAATTACGTTTGCATTTACTAATTAAAACCAAACATACAAAAACAACTTTTGAATTAAAAGAAGTTCTTAATAAACATAAAAACATACAAACGCTCCAACTCTCTCTTCTCTTCAGATGTTGTTCTCCACAGATTACTAAAAACAGAGATCAAGCAACAAGACTTAAAAACAGACAGTGTGATAAAGGTAACAACGAAGAGTCTTGACATGAACAGACTGTTGAGGGTGTTCCAAGAATATCTGCAAGAAAAGGGGAACCTCTTAGATCTGTCTTACGCGAATAAATCCATACAATGACTTAACAAAGAAACTGTTGTTAAGGAACTGTTGCACAGAATAAAAGCTCATAAAGGTCATACCAAAGAATATTTACATTATCTGTTTGCCAAGTTCTACAACATTTGAATGAATAAACAGCTGAACACTACCCAAAAAACAAAGGGCTCAGAATAAATTATCTTCTTAAAAAATAAGAATGCTCACAGTGTCGTTGCTGTTCTTGATCGATATACACCAGATCCTTTTGCACATCCAGGTTTTTGTCTATTTGCCAAGTTCTACAACATAATCAAAAGTCAAAACCATCATTAAAGCAAACACCAAAAAGTTACAATTCAGAAGAAACAAAAAAAACATCTCTTACTTGCTTTTATTTTTCTTCTTCTTCTTCTTCTTCGTTGAAGTCTCAGCTTCAAAAATAAAAAAACACAAGTCTTTTATTAATCAACCATTCTCAGAAAAAAAAGATCAAATCGAAAACTTTGATATCATAAGACCAAAATAAAAATCAAGTTATTTACCTTTGCTTCCTTCATCTTCATCGTTGTCCTCTTTACCATCTTCTGCAATCTCAAGCTTCTTCGAAAGCTCAGATTCCAATTGTTCATCTTTTCCATTATAGGATTCAGCGCCGCCATTCACCACCACGGGAGCTACAACAACAACATCAGGGCTTTCGCTCGCCATCTTCAAATTCGATTCTCACCATAATAATAACCCACTAACCAAATAAACAAAACTCGATGAGAATCGCAAGGTTTCTAGGCCTTCGAGTCGACACACCAGAAGATGTGGGTCGAGTTGGGACAACGGGTCGCTTCGCCGGAGACTAAGATCTATAACCCTAGCTAGAAAAAGAGTGAAATCGAGAAAAGGTATAGACTAATCCAACCCTAGACAGTCCTAAACATCCACAATAACAATAGATCTAACAATAAATCGAGAAGGAGAAGAAGAGACGAAGGCTACGTACCTGGCGGACCCGAGCTGGAGTTTCGTGGACGCCGGCGGTCCTGCTGTTGGCCGGAGGAAGCCATGGCCGTTCAATGATGAAGAGATGAAGACGATGAAGTGATGAAGTGGTGAAGAGAGGTGGCTAGGGTTTTTCAGATTTTCTAAGTGTTGGAGACTCGAGTGGTATGTCTCGAGAGATATATAATGGGCTTAGAAAACATTATGGCCCAAATTTGGGTTGTGTTAACGTGGGAAAACAAATAATTGGGTTTAGATTTTAGGTGGGAAATCAAAATTTTGGCTAAGTCTTTGGGTGGGAAATCTAAATTTCTAAACAATGAAAATCTTGTGTGTAGATATTTTAAATTAAAATTTTAAATTACTCTATAAATGATATAATTAAACAGTTTACCTATAATAATTTATATAGATTATGTTCATTTTAAAAATAAAATATTACTAAACAAAATTATTTCAATCACACAAAATGGGAGAGAATCAGAGAGGTTCGTCGAGAGAGAATTGGGGATCTAGGGTTAGAGAAACGCGGATTTAATTAGGGTTTCCGCGGTTAGAACTAGGGCCAACGCCGAATATCTAATGGACCGAGACCAATTAAAAGGCCCAATAAGAAATTATAGTCGCTATACAGTGGCTAATTAGTAGCCCAGTTTAGAGACTAAACTTTCAGAAGCTATTTAGTCGCCTAATTTGGCGATTATACAATGACTATTTTTATCCGTCGCCAAATGCAGACGGATTAGCGACTAATGTTGTTTATGCAACATTCAGTCGCCTAAATGTCGCAATTCAGTCGTCATATTCAGCGACTAATTTATCAGTCGCTGAATATCGTCGCTAACAACGTGTTTTCTTGTAGTGTGAGAAGAATGGTGAGCCGGCTTTTGAGAAGAATGTTGAGTCTGGTTTTGAGGAGAATGTTGAGCCAGCTGTTGGAGGTGATGATACACTTGATGATGGCTCTGTTGGTGGGCAGAAAACTGGGGGTGATGAGGCAGCTGAGTTACAGATGGTTGGTGAAAAGGAAACTGGGGGTGATGAGGCTGCTGAGTTACAAATGGTTGGTGAAAAGGAAACTGGTGGGGAGATAGTAAAGAAGCAAAAGTTCAAGCAGTGTGCTAAGAAGAAATGTAACTTGGCACCGAAAAGGAAACTAAAGCCTTCAATCCATGTCAAGGCTCCTTATACTGAAGAAAAGGCGAAGAAGGAAAAGAAGAAGGAGAAGGAGAAGGAGAAGGAGAAGAAGAAGAAGGAGAAGGAGCATGAGAAGAAGGAGAAGGAAAATGAGAAGGAGATGGAGCAAGAGAAGAGTTCGGCTCCTATTTTGATCTCTGATGATGAGTATCGCTTGTATTCTGGTGTGTGATGATGATGTATAAATCTGTGTTTAGGTACAACTGGTGCGATTAGGTAAAACTATGTTTCTGGGTTTATGTATTTTGATTAGGTACAACTGGTACGATTAGGTACAACTATGTTTCTGGGTTTATGTATTTTGATTAGGTATGAATCTGAATCTAAATATTTTTAAGTATTGAATATAATCTAAGGGTTTTGAACCAAAAAAAAAAAAAAAATTAATCAAAAAAATCTGTCATATATGTTGGTTTTTAAGGGTTTTGGAATAAAAAAAAAATGCTGAATCTAGTTGTTATTTTGGCATACCTGGCGCCGTTATTCTGAAACAAATCTGACAAATAGCATATCTGGCGCCGTTATTCTGAAAAAAATCTGACAAATGGCATACCTGGCGCCGTTATTTTGAAAAAATTTATTAAATAATAGCTCAAATTTGTTCATAGTTGTACAGTTGTACTCGGTTGCACATTTTTGCTCATAGTTGTACAATATATAGATTTTAGTAAATCTAGTTGTTTTCAACTCTAATTTAATTTTTGTTGGTGGAACCGATGGTATTGCCTCATAAAAATATCATTGATTTGTATATGTGCATTTATATTTATCAAAATACAAGTATTTCAAAAATTTATAAAATTTTAGTTCAAATCTACAAAGTAACCATGAAAGTATAAGGTTGTTAGTGTATGAATGTGGGATTTTGAATAAGAATTTCAGTATTTTTTAAAAATATGAAATTTTTTGTTAAAAACTTATTGTGTAGTTTCATTACCATCGTATATGCCTTTTTTAAGTTTTTTTTAATTTGGTTTCAAATTTTCATATTATAGTAAATTCTGAAAATTGGCCAAGGCATTAGACCTTAGTTGTACCTGTGGTACTTAGTTGTACCCAGACTGACAAAATTTGCACAGATACGAAAAGGAAATTAACCATAGTTGTACCTGCTAAAACTTAGTTGTACAACACAGAACATATAAGTTTCACAAACAAAACCAATACAAACAACATCGTTTCTTAAATTAACCTAATAAATAGCATTGAGAAATCAACCTTGGTCACCCGCATCATCTCCATCAACGTCACCATCATTGGTAAACCACTCGCCCAAACCGCCCGCTCCATGCTACCTCTTCTTACGTCCTCTATGCTCTCCAACGGAGGGGAATCTTGTTTCTTGTCTTCTTCCTTGTTTTACCTCATAATCCGGAGGATAGGCAAACTGTTGCATTATCTCCTGAGGAAGAACCCATTGGCTATTATGGGGAACCGGATAAATTGTCCTCGTGTACGCCAAAACCCATAGCTCGATCCAATAATACTTTGAGCTTAAATCATGTGCCCGGAGCTCAGGAGCTGCATCCTTGTTTGCTGTAAGTGTAGCCGCTATCGCATGCACACATGGATACTTGTCTATATCAAAACGCCTACAACTGCATGTTTTGCTTCTCAAATCAACCAAATAAATTTTACCATCGCCTCCAATCACACTATATTCAAGATTATAACCGTTTAGCTCTCGCACCACCAACTTTTTCGCTTTCTTAATTGTAATATGGAGTTCCTTCTCCACAAAAGGAACCAAATATTGACCACTTGGTAATAGTCCAGAAGCTTTTCTATGTTTGGCAAACCACTCCGCGATTTTCCCCACAATCGCATCTATCAATTGTAATAGTGAGTAGTTCCTTGCTCTCTCTAAAACACCATTAATAGATTCAACAGAATTGCTTGTGTCTATGTTGTATTTTTCTCCTCGAAAATAACATCTAGCCCATTTCGTCACATCCGCCCACTCATCTAGATACGTACGTGCCGAAGGATATGTAAACGAAAAAACTTCATAGAGCCTTAGGAACTCTGCCTCCGTATAAGCCCGAGCACATTCCCGAAACTTTTTTCCACATACTGCTTTGTTTACTCCAAAAACCTTTAATTTCACATTCTGAGACAAATGGAAAATACAATGCCCATGGTGGGACGACGGATATACCTCAGCTATTGCCTTGATGAGACTTTGGTTTCTATCCGAAATAAACACAATTTGAGGATCATCCGGTATAACCGTTTTGAGCTTCTTGAGAAACCAAGTCCAACTATCATTTTTCTCGCCATCCACTACACCAAAAGCAATCGGATAATGGTGATGATCGGGATCTTGAGCCGTAGCAACAATTAGCACTCCACCATATGCAGTCTTAAGGTGGGTTCCATCCACGATGATCACTTTTCTCATGACTTGAAAGCCTTCAATGGAAGCTCCCAATGCGAAAAACAAGTACTTAAACTTTTGTTCCTCATCCACTTCTACATACGAAACTGTACCATGATTCATCTTCTCTAACATGTACATATACGAATGCACAAGCCTAAAACCATCCTCTGGGGTACCTCGAATATCATTTGCAGCTTCTTTTTTCCCTCTCCACGCGGTAGAGTATGACACTTGCACACCAAATCGTCCTTGAACCAAATCAATAAGATCTTTTGGAGGTGGCGTGGTAAGTTTACCCGGATAATCTTCAGCCAACAAAGAAGCAACCATAGTTGGTGTGCCTTTCCTTCTACTTCGCCGCCCGGTACTTGTACTTGACCGAGAGCATGAATGAATATTTCTATGAGTTCGTATAGAAAAAGGCTTAGTCGTATCACGCCTCGCAGCTCGTATATACCAATCGCACCCGTTATGTGCTTCCGAACATGCCACCACATATCTCAACGGCTCCGACTTCTTTACAACAAACTCAAAGACATTATTATGTCCAGCCTTTTCAACTAAACTTTGTATTGCTTCTTTGCTTCTAAATTATTGGCCTACCGTAATATCAATCTCATCTACCCATAAAATAGCCTCGGATGCATTCCCTTCTACATCTCTATCTTCATTCTCCACCACAGCCGGATATTGTTGTGATGGTTCTCCAACGTACATAGCAAGGACACCACCACCACTATCATCCGCTCCACCAACTAGAGGAATATCTTCATTATTTGCAACATATCCTCTAACTAAATCCTCTCTTAAAACTTGATCAAACCCCTCATTTTCATCGATCCCCTGATTTTGTTCAACGTCATTGGTCACTTCGACATGCAATACACTTCTAAGCCCTTCTTCACTCACATCCTCATAATAACACACAACATCTTCATCATCACGAATATAATTTGGTCTTAGCTTACGTCCTTGGAATGTGAAGGGAAAGTAACTAACTCTCAGCTTTGTCGTAGCCTCATCTACCTTTTTCTTCCTGCAAATCTTCTCAACCATCTTAACATATGATACTTCCCCTTTCGATTTATTCATAAGAAAAGAATACACTTCTTCATCTTCTCCATTAGAAATCCAATGTACATCTTCTCCGATACTTGTATAGTATCCGTCATAAGCAAAGCGTATGACTGAATTCTTTTTCATTGTCCCTGAAAAAGAAAGAGAAAAAACGGCCTATAATTTCACAACTTTCGTAGCAGACCATCAACATAGTTGTACACATTTGTCCCAGTTGCACCAAACTTAGGGTTTCCGTAAATATTCTACTTAGTTGTACCTAGTGGTTTCAGTTGTCCCAAATCTGCAATCCTAAAATATTTCAACAAACTATTCAAGCTACGAATTCAACTTAATCATACTACACTAACAAAACAAGTATACTTACCTTATAGTATGGTGGGAATAGAAGAAGAAGAAGAGAAGAGATATGTCTTTGGAGATGCAAGCTTTAATGGTGAGCTTTAATGGTAGATGGAGAAGAAGAAGAAGAAGAAGAAGAAGAAGAACGTCGGAGCTGCAACGTCGGAGCTGCTGAAGAACGTCGGAGCTGCAACGTCGGAGCTGTTGAAGAAGAAGAAGAAGAAGAAGAAGAAGAAGAAGAAGAAGAAGAGAAAAAAGTCTCGTAAAAAAGTCTCGTACTAGGTTTAATGTTGTGAGATGTGAGACATTTGGTAGGTTTGTTTTTTTAATGAGAGAAGAGAGAGAAAGTTTTTGATTGGTTGAATAAAAAATGTGTTGGTATTAAATTAAATGTAGAATTAAAGGGATAAGGGGTAAAGTTGGTTTATGGAAAAATTGGGAAGGAGTGGGGGTAGTGAGAATAAAGAGGGGTTTTCCAAAAATTGATTTCCCCCAAAGGGGCTGGAGAGATTAAAATCCTTATAAATACATTTTACATTTTTACTTTTAACCGTTTTTAATAATCTATAAAAAAATATTTACGATGTAAGGTAAAACTTTATATGCGATATCAAATATTTAAATTTATTGTCATAAAAATTTAATATAGAAACGTGATAAAAAAAAAAAAATATTGCAATATAAAATGAGTCTCATAACCTAGTATTATAATAAATAATTACCCAGTTGAGATGACAAAAAACAATGAAAATTAGATATCAAATTACAAGCGAAAAAACCAAAAAGTGAGGTCTCTCGTCTCTGCATCTACCCAGAAGCACCTTCGTTGCACAACGAGCGAAGCTCTTTTCCTTCTCCTCTCTCGTTTTATGCGCTTCCTCTTCCCCACGCGCCTCATCAACAACTCATCTCTCGGTCTCCTCCGATCTCCACGCACCGCCGCGCCGATCCGTTCTCTCTGGTTTCGCAGCAAGTCTCCGGTCTTCCGATCGGCGACTAGTCCAATAATGGCGGCGGCCGCCTTCTCTTCATCGTTGTCGATTCCTCCTAACTCGGAAGAAGCACTTCCTGGGAAGCTATGGATCAAGTTTAACAGAGAGTGCCTCTTCTCTATCTATAGCCCCTTCGCCGTCTGTTTAGCCGCCGGAAATCTCAAGATCGACACATTTCGTCAGTATATTGCACAGGATGTTCATTTCCTTAAGGCGTTTGCTCACGCGTAAGTTCTCTTCTTGGATACTTAGTTTCTTTATGAATTTATTGAATTTCCATGGATTGTGGATAAAATGATGCTTGAGAGTTTCTTTAGAGAAGTTGATGAGTTCAAAATACTGATAATTTTGATGTTGATCCTTTAGAGTTCGAAGTGAAGATGAATGTAGATTGATAATGTTAGAGATTGGAGGTTATAAAATTAGGGCTAGAAATTTTCATTGAAAGAAGGGATCTTGGAGCTTGTGTGACAAATGTAGGAGAAGAAATCAGATATGGAGTATATATGATTAATGTGGATAATGTCGTTTGTATTTGAATTCTTACCTCTTACTTTTAGGGTTTTTGAAGTTGTTTGTTAATAATATTAAGTTGAGATAGGGTTGAGTTATCGGCTCCTAAGTATGGTGGTATAAAAGATTAGTTTTCTATTGGTCCCTGTATGCCTGTGTGGAAAAGTTTGTATGAAAGAAAGGATATCAAGAACAGTTTGTTTGTGGAAATGCTTTTTATCCGGTCTTCTAATTTTTTAAGATTGTAGGTTCCCTTGGAATGTTTTTGAAGATTTCATAAGGCTGTTTTTCGCTTCACATTTAGTGTGGTTGTTCGTGTCTGCGGAGTGATTTTATTAGATTACTATCCCTTGACATAGGACAGGATTGTTATTCATCATGAGATTCGTTCTGGTGGTTTGGGATGCTGCTCTAATTCAGTGGCGTGTTATCATTTTGACTTGAGCAGTTGATCAAATGATTTTGATTTTGTTACAATGAATGTGAGAAACTTTTTGTTTAGCTTATCAGTGATAAGATATAAAGAGATTGTTTGTATAATATTAAATGCTTTCATAGTTTTTCTTGTTTTCTTTATAAATATTTGTGTTCCTGCGATTTTAGGTATGAACTGGCCGCAGAGTGTGCTGATGATGATGATGATAAATTGGCAATTTCTGACTTGAGGAAAAGCGTGATGGAAGAATTGAAAATGCACAACTCATTTGTACAGGTAAAACATACAGGTCTTTCATAATAACTAGAAGTAGAAGATTACAGTTAACATGAGTCCCTAAGTTGGAACTAACTACATGTATCTAACTTAGAGGCTAAGTGTTTTTAATAATGCTTATCCAACAGCAAAAATTTGAGTCAATTAGTTATGTTATGCCTTTTTTGTTCTGAATTCCAAGTGCAATTAGTGAAAGTATCACTTTATTTTACATCAGAACTTGGGGAGTATAGTGAGAGAATGTCATGCTTGGATATTTATTAAAGCTATGGCTTTCACATGCGGTTTCCTGATTCCTCACCTGGATACTGAATATTAATTGTATATTAGTGCTACTTGGCTTCTAAACTCTTAAAAAAAGTTTATTCTTAAGTGTTCTGTTGGCTTTATTATATTGATTCATTGACATCATTATTATCATTTTCCTATCAAATGGTATTCTCTCAGTAGTACGTTTGTCTGATCCTTGCAGGATTGGGATTTAGACATCAACAAAGAAGTAAGTGTTAACTCAGCAACTTTGAGATACACTGAGTTCTTGTTAGCTACAGCTTCCGGAAAAGTAGAAGGATGCAAAGCTCCCGGCATGCTTGATACTCCATTTGAAAAAACAAAAGTTGCTGCTTATACGCTTGGTGCTGTGACACCTTGCATGAGGTTGTATGCCTTTCTCGGTAAGGAGTTTGGAGCACTTCTTGATCTGAGTAATGTGAACCATCCCTACAAGAAATGGATCGATAATTATTCTAGTGATGCTTTCCAGGTATGTCATAGTTGTATGTTTCTGCATATTTCTGTTAACTTTTAAGGGTTTCTAGTATGCTGTGTGAGATGATGCATCTTGTATAATGAATGGTCTGTTTTCCTTTAATCTAGGCATCGGCCAAGCAAACTGAAGACTTGCTTGAAAAGCTTAGTGTCTCTATGACTGGTGAAGAATTGGACATAATTGAAAAATTGTATCAACAGGCTATGAAACTTGAAGTAGAATTCTTCCATGCCCAACCGCTGCTTCAGCCTACCATAGTTCCACTGGTCAAGAACCACTCAAAAGATGATCTGGTGATCTTTTCTGATTTTGATCTGACTTGCACCGTTGTGGATTCTTCTGCTATTTTAGCGGAAATAGCAATTGTAACTGCCCCAAAAGATGAACAGAGTCGATCTGGACAACAAATTCATCGGATGCTCTCATCTGACCTTAAGAACACCTGGAATCTACTTTCGAAACAATACACAGAGCATTATGAAGAATGCATAGAGAATATTCTGAATAAAGAAAAAGGTCAGACTTGTTTACTTTTATTTGACTCAGTTAACGACTATAGTAATCTACTTGGCCTTTTATAGAGTGGTTGGGACATTCTGTCTGATTTTTCTCTCAATGTGGGAAATTTGTTCTTCCAATCTTTTGCAGCGGACAAGTTTGACTATGAGGGTTTATGTAAAGCACTAGAGCAGCTTTCAGATTTTGAGAAAGAGGCAAACAATCGAGTGATCGAGTCTGGTGTACTCAAGGGCCTGAATCTCGAAGACATTAAGCGTGCTGGGGAAAGGTTAATTCTTCAAGATGGCTGCATCAATGTCTTCCAGAAAATTTTAAAAACTGAGAATCTGAATGCAGAACTTCACGTGCTTTCCTATTGTTGGTGTGGCGACCTCATCAGGGCAGCCTTTTGTGCAGGTATGTGTCAAAATCCTTAACTTCGTGATTTTTGTAGACAATTCAGTCCCTAGAATTAAGAAAATATGCTAAAAACATTCTCCTCTTTACAGGCGGAGTAGATGCAGTGGAAGTACATGCAAATGAATTCACATTCGAGGAATCTATCTCGACTGGTGAGATCGAAAGAAAGGTGGAATCCCCGATTAACAAAGCTCAGCAGTTCAAAAGTATCCTACAAAACAGAAAGGATGAGAACAAGAAGAAAAGTTTCTTGAGTGTGTATATTGGAGATTCGGTTGGTGACTTGCTGTGTCTCCTCGAAGCAGATATAGGAATAGTGGTTAGCTCTAGCTCGAGTCTCAGGAGAGTTGGAAGCCATTTTGGTGTCTCATTTGTGCCTTTGTTTTCTGGAATCGTCCAGAAACAGAAACAACATACTGAAGAAGAATCATCATCAACCTGGAAAGGACTCTCTGGCACACTTTACACAGTTTCAAGCTGGGCCGAAATTCATTCATTCGCTCTTGGATGGGAGTAAACCGGTAGAACAAAGTATATGAAGAGATTGGTGTATATACTGCCGAGTGGCCAGTTTTATCAAGAGCCACACAAATTTCAGTAAGTGTGAGTACCAATGGCGATGATGACCTTTGGTTTGTTTCGTCTAGCATTTCATTTTAATGAGCTTCTGTTGCTGCTCTTTTGCGATGATCTCATGATGTGGCTTTCGACAGAAAATTGTGATGCCGAGATGTCATTTTATACTTGGACTCAACAACTGTGAAGAGCCTCTTATACATAAGCATGTGTTTCTATGAATATGGCATAAAAGTTGGGATATTGATATTTGCTTTCATTTTTCACGATGAAAAAGATGGAGAAGATGTATTTAACACCTCTTAGAGATAACTAACAAACATTTCCAATGAACCTATGTGTTTAGATCATAGCCCTGTTCAGCGCGACCATGTTAACGCGCTGATCGTCAATGATGCTGTGACTTAGTTTTTGTTGCTAGAAAAAACAGAAACTGCATACGTCTCCAATGTCTGCAACTACAACATGTTTTCTGGGACAGCTTTTTTTCATTGTTATTTTTTTGGCCTTCGTCGTAATCACTGTCGCAGTCGCAAGACTTGCAAAAGAACAGGGTACACTTAGTTTGATGCTCTAAGCACATAAAAGAGTCATTAACATCGTTCTATTTCATCGACATTCACTATTCACATACATTCTTTTTAATAACTTGATAGTATGAAAGCCTATTATATCGATATAATACGATTGGATAACTATCATGATCTAACTATCAGAAGATTCAATTCTGTAACAATTGTCCATGTCATTTAACCAAAAAGTGGGAAAACATTCAACATTTAATAGATCATTTCTAAACTGTTAACTTAATCCGTTTTGACGAACCACTCAGCCCAATCATCAAACTTGACCCCAATTAAGTGACTAGAACCAAATTCCAACACTTAGCCAAAACACTTAGGGTTTGATGGTTGCAGCGGTGGAGCGGACAAATCCGTTTGTGGATTGAACCGCTTTTTGTTTACCATACATAAATTATAATCCGTAGTAGTACGGACCCATAAAACTAAAAGAAATCTACTGCGGACCAACTACAGACCGCTTATATATAGAAATGAACTTGGTCTATGGCAGATTGTTGTCCGCCCCAAAAATAGAGTGGCCAAGTCCGCTAATGGTTTAGTCCGCTCCACCCCTAACATCCATTGAAGCCTTTAAAAATATTATACTCAAATAAAGAAAAGCATATTTGCTCATTCGGAACTTACAATAATTTAATTTTGCTTCTGAATCGTTCTAATCTCTTCTCCAAAATTTACTACAACAAAAAATATCAAAATAATTTTCAAATTATATGGATGATTATATAACATTAAAAAAAGAAATTCCTCTCTCTTCTCTCTCCCGTACCTTTTAGAGAGAGGATTTGTTCTTTACTTTTGCAGACTGGAATTTTTCCGGTGAACCGCCGTCCCGACTAACTCGGGCTTATGTCCGATATCTTCTGGCTTCGTTAGCAGAGATGGCCGACCTCCGTCCGGCAACGTCTGACTTCCACTAGTGACGTTGGCTGGCTTTTTTTCTCCTGGCCGTAGATCGGTTTCTTTTCCGATCTCTTTATGTTTTTATCTTTCAATAATTGCCTTGGATATGAGTTGGTGATTATCTAATCATGATGGGTTTCTCCGACTTGTTTCTTTTGTGCTTGTGGGTTGCAGGAATCGTTTCAATTTCACAAAAATTGAAGAGATTTCAGTCTAAAGCTTAATTTGTAAGAACAGTTTCAAGAGATTGCATCTTGGGTTAAAGGATTTTAAGAATACTCTGATGCGTATTACAATTTCCTATCTGTTGTATCTTTTAGTTGGAGCCCCGCTCGGAAAATTTCGGTAAGACAAAAGGAATCTCCGTGCGATTGTTTGTCGGCGATGTTTTCCTTACCGGAATCGGAGCTCGACAGCGGTGGTTGATGTCGGTACACTTCCGATGACTCATGAACACGTGTTACAATAGTATTTTCAGGTTGACACGTGACTTTGGGTAGAGTTCAAACGCTAAAATTTCTTTTGCTTTCGGTGTAAAATTGGTGGGCTCTTGTTGAGCTTCGCTCTCTTATGTTTGCAAAATCAGTGTGGGCTTTTAGGCCTTGTAACCTTCGTTTGATTAATAAAAGGGTTTGTTGGGAAAGTAGTACGTTTCTGAAAATTAATTGGGAAAGTAGTACGGTTACTATTTAGAATTAGTAAAATAGACAGCTTTTGTTGGGTGTGAGAGAGAGAGACGTGTGGGGACTTTAGTGGGCCAGTTTTTTTTTCTTTCTTTATTAAACATTCCCTCTAAGTTTATTAATTAAAATGCTCTTTAATAAATTTATTTTTCTAAAATTGATCATATAAATAAAAATTTATGTTTTTTTCTCTATCATTTGATATGCATTTTGTTTAAGGATTTTTAAAATTTCTATTATAGGGCACTGTACAAATAATATCTATACAGATATAGACCGCTGTACAGATATAGACTGCTGTACAGATATAGACCACTGTACAGATATAGACCACTGTACAGAATGGTGCATCTGTACAGAAGGATATTTGTTCGTTTAACAGTAAATTATGATTTCATTTAACAGATGCATCATTCTGTACAGTGGTCTATATCTGTACAGTGGTCTATATCGACCGCTGTACAGATATAGACTACTGTACAGATATAGACCACTGTACAGATATAGACCACTGTACAGATATAGACCACTGTACAGAATGGTGCATCTGTACAGAAGGATATTTGTTCGTTTAACAGTAAATTATGATTTCGTTTAAGAGATGCATCATTTTGTACAGTAGTCTATATCTGTAGAGTGGTCTATATCTGTACAGTAGTCTATATCTGTACAGTGGTTTATAACTGTATAGATATTATTTGTACAGTGCTCTGTAATATAAAATCTAAAAATCATTAAACAAAATGCATATCAAATGATAGAGAAAAAAACATAGATTTTTATTTATATGATCAATTTTAGAAAAATAAAATTTACTAGAGAGCATTTTAATTATTAAACTTTGAAAGAATGTGTAATAAAAAAAAAAAAAAGAACTTGGCCCACTAACAACAAACCCCACGTTTCTCTCTCACCTCACTTTTTTTCTATTAGTGAGTTCTTGTATCTCACAAACTGGTGGACCCGAGTAATATTCCAATATTAAATAGTCCTTGTACTAGTTTTCTAATTAAGTTTGGAAAACGTACTGTTTTCCAACTTATTCCTTAGTAAAATACTCTTGAGAAAAAAAAAATTATATAACATTAAACATTAAAAATAAATTATATAGAAAAAAAAGTTTTATGCGAAATGCTATTTATTACAACTTTACCGAAAGGTAACCGAAATATTTCTAATGAGTAATGATCACCCGAGAGCATCTGACAAGCTATCGGAAGCGGCTAAAGGATTATGCATGAAGTATAGGTATAAGCTGATTTCCCGTTTGATTACTAAAAAGTTGCACAAATTTTTTTAAACAGGTGATGACGAATTCAAACCAGAACAATGTTGGGAAAACGAAAAGACCCGACAGGCTGTGTGTTTTCCCCTAGATATATAATATAGTTCACTGAAGTCTGAAGATACTTAGGGTTATATTTGGTTCATAAATGGCTAATTCAATGTTCTCTTCTTCGGCCAAGCCACACTTCTTGAAGCCTATTCTTCCAGGCTTCAAAACCTGTATTGTAATCTCCCTCTCTGTTTCTCTCTGCATGTTGTTATATTTTCTTTTTCTGACATTTTGTTTTACTCTGTTCTTCTTTGTTTGCAGTTGATACCTAAAGCTTTTTATTCGAAATACTTAGAGGGAAGACAAGAGGGAAACGCTGCAGAACTTAGATCAGACGCATCGGAGATCACCTCGAATATTAAGATGGACGGCCGAAGAATGACCAAAGGATGGGAAGAATTTGCGGTGGCTCACAATCTTCAGGTCGGCGACATTCTTGTTTTCAGACACGAAGGAAATCTCTTGTTTCATGTCACCACTTTTGGACTGAGTTGCTGTGAGATACTTTACTCACAGAATGACGAGAAAGATGTCAAAGACAAGACGGGTAAGTTGAGCTCTTTACCGTACTTTCCAGTTAAAGATTTTAGGGTTTTCAAAAGAGGAAACTGTTGATGTTTACTTGTGGGTCTGCTTCTGATTCAGGAAAGGTTACAAGATACAGAACGGTGAAGAAAACCGCAAAAAATGAGTGTTCATCAGTGGACACTGATTTTGTGGTCCCTGTCACAGCCTCAAACCAACGACTTGATTCATTTGTAATAAGTCCTTCATTCTATAACTTGTTTAGAATTGAATATGTGGAATGAAATTAATATTGCTATCAACTTGGGATATTTTCTTTGCAGTATCTTCCAAGAGGTTTTACCACCTCAAGTGGTTTGAGTAAACTGTGCAATGAGATAATACTAATGGATGAAAAAAGCAGGCCATCGACGCTAAAACTGTGTTACCATAAATCAAGTAATCGGTTTTGTGTCAGCCGAGGTTGGAGAGCTTTCTGCTTCAGTATTGGTTTCAAAACTGGTTGTTTCTTGAGGCCCATATTGGTCCGAAAAGGAAAAACACCTGTGCTCCGGATTTATCCTTTGGAGAGAGATGAGGACAACATTGGTAAGTTCAGCACTCCCTTGCTTTTATATGTAGTTAGGAATGAAATGCTTATGAGGGAACCTTTTCTAACCAGGAAACCACTCGAAGAAGATTAAGCAAGAAGTAGAACATGAGACTGTGAAAGAAGAGACGAATGTGGAATCAGGAAAGCTTATAAGAGATAGATTTGTGGTCCCTGTCACAGCTTCAAACCAACGACACGATGCATTTGTAAGAAGTCCTTAACTTTTATCACTCCTATACTTATGAATGTTATCAACTTGGGACTTTTTCTTTGCAGCATCTTCCAAAAGGTTTTACTACCTCAAGTGGTCTGAGTAAACTGTGCAAGAAGATTATTTTTGTGGATGAAAAAGGTAGGTCATCGATACTAGACTTGAGCTACGATAAATCAGATAATCGGTTTACTGTCAGGCGAGGCTGGAGAGCTTTCTGCTGTAGGAATGGGCATAAAACTGGTTGTTTCTTGATGCTCACATTGGTCCGAAATGGAAAAACACCAGTGCTCCGGATTTTTCCTTTGGAGAAGGATGAGAGCAGCATTGGTAAGTTCAACACTCTCTTGCTTTTTATATGTAGTAAGGAATGCAATGTTTATGAGGAATCCTTTTCTATCCAGGAAAGAACTCGAAGAAGATCAAGCAAGAAGTAGAACATGAGTCTGCGAAAGAAGAGAAGAACGTGGAATCATTGTCTTTGTCAGATAATTCTAGCTTTGTTGTATCTGTCACAGTTTCTAATCTAAGGGAAGATATACTGGTTAGCACTTCACTTTTATCCTATTCTTATATAATGGCTTTTGCATTCCAATGATAATTGGAAGTTTCTGTCTGATTATTTGTTGTTGCAGTATCTTCCATTAAGGCTTTCAAGATCAAACATACTGGACAAAAAATTTCACCAGATAAGTTTGATGAACAAACAGGGAAGAACATGGACTTTAAGTTTAAAATACAGTAAGTCCTCCGGTAAGTTTAGGATCTCACACGGCTGGAAAAGTTTCTGCGAGGCGAATGGTCAAAATGCTGGATGTACCTTCTTATTCAAGCTGGTCAGAAACAGAACAGCCCCTGTGCTGCTCATGGCATCTTTAGGTGATGATATTCACCAAATCAAAACAGGTTTGTGATGTTAACTATGACCAATTTTGTTCCAGTTCCAGACATTGTAGTCAAGTATTTTAGAGTTGCTCTGTGTAATTGTTTTCTTCAGCATCTTTCGACAACTCAGTTGGACCAAGACGGAGTAGCATGGGACAAGAAGTGAAAATAATGGGTTGATGCAAATGAATTAGACCAGGATTTAGAAGGGCCTTATAAGGCTGCATATAAAATATTGCTTTTTGGAACCTAAATTATAGTTTTGTCAAACTGGTTTATTTTAGTGATGTGGTACATCCTATTTCACCTTTTGTGTAACTTTCTTGTAGACAAACAAAATGATATTCGGTCACTATGTACTATCAGCAAGTATTGAGTAGCAAATTATAAGCTATATAGTAAGGAAATCTATTATCGAGTGGAACCAACTGAAAATCGTCAACCTTCAATGCAGTTATAGTGTCCTTCAATGCAACACGATACAATAAAAGGCCAGGCCTTAAGTAGGAAACTGGGAAATCCAAAAAGGAAACACTTGTACTTATGAGATTCATCAAGTAAATTTGAGGACAATGTAGCACACGCAGAATATGAAAGAACACTAAAAGAATGAGAATACGCTATATCACAAAAATTTTGTTTACACAAGGCCAACATAGCAACTTTTGTTGATCCTGACTTCAACGCTTACTAGATTCCAAGCTCTTTATTATACAGCAATCGGTGTATCCTGCGGAAGCCAGTCAAATCAGTTTTCTTGTCGTGCCATAAAGGAGTAGGTAATTACATCAAATTATAATTATCATTAACAATCACTAAAACTCATAACTATTACTAGATCTAGCAGTAAGTCAGTTTTGGTTAAATAAATAACAGGTTCTAGCCGCCTATCAAAACAAATGTTGGGTCCTGACAACCATAAAATGTGGACTGGTTTGATGACTCACCTTGGAACTCATATTTGAGACGGCTAGATTGAACTTCTCTTTGGTTTTTGAGCCAGCAACCTGACCTACTCTCGCCACTTTACTAAAAGCGCCACTAAACCAAGCAGCTCCAGCAGTCACGTACCTATTTGGAAGCATAATCAGAAACAAAGAAATAAAACAGAGCGGGTTCACCATAGTAGTGATGACAATGACCAATTCATGAAGTCAGGACACAAATTTTGGAAAGAGAAGTAGTTAGAGGTGGACAATGTTGATTCCTGTCATGTCTATTATCAAGAAGAATGTCTAAGGATTTATATTCCACCAAAGAATCAGAAGACAAGAAATTATATACCTGCTGGATTTGACAGCTGAACCAGTGTCGTTTAATTTCTTCTCGGCTGCAAATATTGCTGCCATGGTTTTATCGGAGACCTGAAGCTTTTGATCAACAGATTTCACTTTCTCGTTAACGGCAGAAATACCAACAGTTAACTTCTCAGTAAGCCCAACTCGCTTGTCAAAAGATGAAACTTTGGCAGAAGCATTGGCTCTTAATTGATGCTTTTCGTCGAAAGCCTTGGCTTTATTTACTGCATCTTGTCCAAGAGCAGAACCTTTTGCCAAAACAGTTGCCACCACATCTTGTGCTTTGCTAACATATGCTCTACTATTGCCATCCGCAGTAGTTTTGGTCTGTAAATCGAGTTTATTTTGCATTATTGTTGTACAACGGAACATGTTTAAGACTATATCACACAACCTAGTTTTCTTCAACTTCCTGCTATAGTTTTACAATAAAATGAGAGAGCTATCACAGGACAAAAGAAATGGAACTTGAAAATTTATTAATTTTAAAACTTGTTTCAACATAAATGACCAGTTGTTCTTCCCAATCAAAGGGTGAAAAAACACATTAAACTTGATGAAATTATGAATAGACAAAGAAGGCCCAAAACCACTATAAAAATTGACTGAATGTTTGAAGATCAGTACTTAACAGTGAAACCATAGATCAGTTTCTGCATGAAAATCAACAAAATATACTCTACTAACCTGTGTAGTACTCTCTGGAAGACCAAGGGGCATCACGTTGTCCACCATTCTTACTTCCTGCATGAACAGAAACTAAGACGTCAAACAGAGCCGACTTGAGAAAAAACTTGATACGAAATAACACACAACCTGCATCTCACGCCTCTGAACATAGTTTTCAGCTCGAGTTATTGTAACAATCTGGTCCACAATCGTCGCACCCTACAAGACAAGATGTCGATTCTGTTAGCTTTTAAAGGTATACAAGATTTCCATCCGCGTTACTGTTATCAAAATATACGCTTAGAGTTTTACACAAACAGTCTCATAACTAGATTAGGTATTTGTTACAAAGACTTTAAACAAAACTAATGTTAAGCAGAAATGCACATACACAAACATTGAACCTAAACTTAAACCAGCTCTATGACTCAATTACATGTTAGTAGTATCACAAAATGCAGAAGTCCCTTAAACTTGTAGTTGACCAGTTTCCTCCAAATAAACACACAAAAATTTAATTAATGCATCAAAAGTGTCGGTGAAATAGAACATACCGATAATAACAAGGCAATTTCAAGGGCTTTGGGATCAGTAAATGTAACAAATGCGATTCGAGACTGGCCAACATCTCTGCACCTAAAATTCCCAACAAATTTAAGGTAAAGGTGAAAATGAAACGTAGAAGAAAACTTAGAACGAGCATAGAAGAAAAGGTAAAGTTACTTTTGGATTTCAATGTGTTCTATGTCGCCTGAGAAGGAGAAAAACTCGTGAATCTCCCTCTCCGTGGCTAGATCTGAGACATTATTTACTTGAACACTTCTCGTCGTCTACATCGAATTCGAAGAAAACAAAATTAGTTAGAAGAAACTTTGCAGCTCAGGAATCGTTAAAGCATTGAAAATTAGAGTGGAAAAATCAGAGTAATAATCATTCACCTGCATTGTTGTAGAAGGGAGCTAGCTCTCGAGAGAATAATTTTGACCAAGAGAGAAGAAAGATTTTGAACAGCCCAGACGTCACTCTTGTCCAGCTAAGCTAATATTATCTCTCTGCTTAAATATATGTGTATATTCACTTTTTATAGTTTATGTTTCCTGTTTTGCCCTTCTCTTTTGTCTTTAATTTCTATATGTAACCCAGATCATAAAATATCCTATAATAATATAATATACACGTATTTTTGGTCAATAGAGTAAAGTACGAAGAACTCATGGCTTTAACACGAAGTTACAATTACTAAAAAACAAAAAAAAAAGTTTCGCCTATACATGGTCTAATGGTCGGAAAAAGTTTTGCTTCGAGACTCGCTGGGATTGTTTTCTTATAAAACTCAGTCTATGGGTCTGTTCGTCGTAGGTCGCTGACGCCGCGAGACCACAACAGAGCAAAGAGGCTATGACAGAGACAAAAACAGTCAGCCGGTGTCGTCAACACACATCAATCTCATCGACGATGGTGGAGTGTATTACCAGCGATACCCCTGCTCTGTACGTGATCTGTCGCTTATTTGTTCAGCGCACCTAAGCACTCCACCATCGTTGTTGCAGGGACAATCGTTTTCCTCCGCGACAAGTAAAAGAACAGGCCCTATAATGATTTCTTTTCTTTATGCTCTTTGACATAAAAAAAAAACTTTTAGCAGCAAAGGTGTCTCTGATCAACAACGCATGAGTTTCAAGCAAATAACAAACTCTGTTCGCTGTTTGTTAACTGATTGCAGTAAAGCTTATATATGTGGAATCCATCATTGAACTCAAAAGACAATACAGTATATACAACAACAACAACAACAACAACAACAACAACAACAAAAAAAACACAGTTTTGACTTTGGAGACACTGTTGTTCCCCAACTATCGTCATTCATCAATGATTCCAGACTTCGTATATATATAATAGTCACAAACCAACAGAGAAAAATACACTGGAAACACAATGAGATATACGAGAGGATCTCACAAAGTATTAGAAGACGTCTGGGTGGTACCGCCCCGGGATGGAACTGTTTTGCTGAGCTTGTTTCAGATGAAGCGTCAGAGCATAGTTGTTCACCTGCAAAGAGCAATCAATAGGATACTCAGATCTAATCATATCGACAGAAAGACAACAAAAAATGTATAAGCTAGGGTCAAGACAGTTAATACAGACCTCTAAAGTTCTCAACTGTTCCTGGTATTGAGTGACTAGCTGCCTCAAATGCTGCAATTCCTGACTTTGGTCTTCCGATTCTCTCTGCCGCTTCTGCTGCGTCACTACCGCTCGTTTTAGTAAACTGTTTTCCTGTACAATGGCTTCTAATTGCTGCTTCAGCATCATGTTTTCCTGGTATAAAGGCAAATCGGATGTTCATAGATAGATATACATATCCAGCAACAAAAAGTATTATCTATCAATGAAGAGTGAAGAAATAAAGAAAGATAGATGAAACACCTGTTGGAGATTTTGCATTGCTTCAGTACCGGTACGTGCATTGATTGACTTCTCCAAAGCTTCCAATGCTCTTGCAGCACGGGCTTTGGCGTCTTTCATGTCAGAAGCATTCATCATTTCCCTAACAAAGAGCTCAACCCACTCTGTACCATCCAAGTTCAAGACATTTGCTTCCCCATTGGATAAGACTTCCTCCTTGGCTGATCCTACAAAGATCAAAACCCGTTTCATAAATAAGAATTTGTACAGTGAGTCTGACACTTATGCAGAATACCCTGAAACTAGTAAAGATTATGACTTTTAAGAAACATGTATACAAGTTAAGGGTAGAAAACGAAGATTCTAACAAAAATACCAGACTTAAGATTTCTGATTGATACAAGATAAATAGGAGGGTAGGACACAGAACTCCAAAAGTACCTTGCTGCTGATGTTCAACATTTGCTTCCTGGATTACAACAGGAGATTGGTTTGTAGCAGAATCTAAATTCTTATTGGCAGATTCTAAACGAAGCTGATTCAAACATCTAATGGCTGAATCAAGATCATCACCACATTCCTCGATTGCCCTCTCAAGAATCTACCACACACAAATGTCAACGATTTATAACCAATATACCATCACAGACATCCATAGATATAAAGAAGCCTAATCAGAGATATTTCGGTTCCTTTAATTGGTCGAAATGCAATAATTCAACGCAATTATCCAATCAAGTTTGGCAATATAGGTAATCAGAATCAAGAATCTAGCACACCCACACAAAAATTTCAAGAATTTTACTACCAATAACCATGAAAAACATGTATTTTATATGCTCATTACTGATATACACAATTGCATACTTTCATTTCAATATTCGAGAGAAACTTAATCAGAAACATTAACGAATCAAGTAATTCGACAATAATTAACAAAAGCATCCGATCAATTACAATCATAAAGCAAAATCACAATCTTACAAGCATAATTTTTCTGATAATTTTCAATTCGAAAAACCTAATCAAAGACAGAGCTTCCTTGAATTGGTCCAAATAACAATCAATCAACTAAATCATCCGATCTACTAAAAAAAAAAAACTAAATCAGAAAACAAATCGGATAAAAAAGGCTGGAGATCGGAAAATGAAGGACCTTCTTATCCATATCGGGGAAAATCGCGGCGAGGTGATCGAGAAGAAGCGAAGACGAAGGCGGAATCGGATGAGAAAAACGAGCCGGAGAAGACGAAGAAAAGCAACGGAGTTTCTTGGAGACGGGAGGAGAAGCGGCGGCTAAGTCCTCGAACAGAGATCTCTTCCCGCAAACAATCGCAGACATGTTATCTGCTTACCCCCTTCTTCTTCTTCCTTCAGATCTCTCGAACAAGACTTTTTTTTTTTTTTTTATCGGATCTTAAAGATGTTCGCATCCAACATGTTTTGGAACTCGGACCCGATATCGGTAACTGGTTTAAGAAGAAATTTATAGAAATTTTTTTTTTTTTTTTTTGGTGAGCTAGAATATTTTTTTTCTTTTCAATTCAGTAAAATTTAGAGAATTTTTTTTAATTCACTAAAAACAATATATATAACTATTTATATTAGTATTTTTGAAGTACATTTTAAGGGGTGATTGACATCGGACTGTCAAGACTTTAAAAGCATTTAACAGTCCTTACAGCATTTTTACTCTTGTAACTTCACTTTTTTCTAAAGTCACCTAATAGAGGCTTTAAGTGGTGTTAAAGCTTTTTCTCTAATTATTTTTACTTTTCTTCTTTCCCCATATAATTTGAAAACTCTTTTTAAAATTATTCATAATTTATTATTAAATAATTTCACTTGATTAAGTCTAATTTTATTTTTTCTTTTCTTTTGCGATCCATTTTAAATATTTAAAATGGTAAATATTTAAACTGTGAATATTTAAATATTTCTTTATTTATGAACTTTTTTTTCTAAAACTTAATTTTGTCACCATAGTATCACATAAATTTATTTTTAACATAACTAATATTTAAAAAAATATATAATAATAATAAAAATAACCGTCACAGTTTCTACAGTTTTTTTATTACCAACCAGATTTTAACAGCAAAAGTCTTTACAGCCAAAGTCTCTACAGTCAAAGTTTCTACAGTCAAAGTCTCTATAGTCAAAGCTTTTACAGCCAGAAGTAACAGCCGTTACCAATCGGCCCCTTAGTATCGGGTGGGTTAAAATTTTATCCGAATTATATGGTATCCGACCCGACACTAAACATGCTTCACGATATTTTGATTAGATCAGGTTATATGTAACCCGACTCTTCCACTAGATATTTGCCTGAAAATTGGATACAAATATTACCAAAATTGAATTGTGTCCACTAATTACGTTTCCATATCTAATAATAAAGATATTTAGAAGATTTAGTTCTAATTTAAATTTATGATTCTTTTTTCATCTTTGTTTAATTATTTTTTAACTGTTTTGAATCATCATATAATAAATAAAGTTTTTAAAAAATCTTAATTTTTTTCCTGCATTTATTGTGATTCGAAATTTTTAAAACGGACATATATAACCCAATTAATGAAAAAGTGTGTGTTCAACGTCGCATATCAGCTAAAATATTTGAAAAAGATTCAGAGTCATATTATAAATAAGATCAAAATGAATCATAATCTGAAAGAGCAGGAACCTTAACTTAACAAGCATCCAAATTTAAAAATTTGTATACCGGTTAATTCGGTTTTTAGTTAAACTATTTCATTTTACCGGAAATAATATAATTGATATATTTGAAGCAATAGAAAGTTTATAATATTATGAACATTTGAATATATAAAAATAAAATTTAGCAAGGGACGGATTATATTGCGGGACGAGGTTTTATGGTGACTTGGCGGGACGGGTTTTGAATCAACAATAACAAAAATTTAAAATATTATTAATTCGTCGGTTCAATACGGGACAGATTAAAATTTAAAAAAGTATATAATATTATGAACATTTGAACATATTAAAAAAAGTACCACGGGACGCATTATATTGCGGGACGGATTATATGGCGAAACAGGTTTGAATTAACAGTAATAAAAGTTTATCATAAATTTGCCGCTTCAATACGGGTTAAACCTTTATTTTATTATTTTTAATACCATGATTATTAGACATATTGAATCATACTGATTTAAATATATATATATATATATATATATATATATATATATATATATATAATGGGAGAGTTTCTCTCCTCTTAGGATGTCCACATCATCACCAAATTAATATTATGGATCCTACCAATAATTATTTCAAAATATTTAATTTTATGGTTAATTACATCTCATTATCAAAGAAGTAATCATCAATTAATGCACAATTTTAAATAAAAGTTACTTGAATAATAATAACACAAGTGTAACATATTTACATATAAAACACTTGAATTAATGTTTTGTTAATATATAACTTGAAATGAACATAATACCTAAATATTTAATTAAGAAAAAAAATATTTATGAAAATTTCATAGAAATACCAATTTTATTTAAGATGGACAAAAAGATTCTTAATGAAATTTATTATTCAATTACAAACAAATAATAACTTATTAAAAATAAAAAACGTTCAAAAACTATCATTTTTTAAGAATAATAAGGAAACCTCAAATATAATTTAGGATGAAGAAAAGAATTGAATTGAAATGGAAGGCTATAAGAGTTTTTTTTTTTAATAATAAGAAAATATTCATATTTCATGAAAACATTAAATTAAAGAAATAATAATGAAGTGGAAGAAATTTATTTTAAATAATATTATTTTTAGATTAAAAAAATAAATGGTTAAATGTTATAGTAAATGTATGATTGTAAAAGTTTTTTCAGATATAAGAAATAATTCATATTTAAAATTGAAAATTATATTTCAAGAGTAGTAGTATAAATTCACATTGACGAAAAAATATAAAGATTAATTGTATCTTAATATTAAAATATAGTAAACTATAAAAATTAAAATAATACAATTATATCTATATTATTGTTTGCTTTCTAAATAAAAAGGTGAATATGTTTAAATATAGGTAAAAATCTAAATAAGTATTTTTGAAGAAATTTTAACATATATATATCTTTTGTAAAATTATATTACGCTGAAGCATGATAACCATGTAATTAATAAAAGAAAATAAACTAAGAAGATGAAAATGAGGAAATAATTTTGAGTTAAGAATCAATTTAAAGTTTTATTATATGTAAGTGAGCATAAAAGATAAAAAAAAATTTAGATTTTGGGAAGCGAACAAGTACATTATAGAAGATGGCAAAAATTTTTTGAAGAGAAATTGAGTAATGCTTGAAGCATCGGTAAATTGTGCTCTCCAAACCTATTGAAGCGGCATGAATACTACGTTTATACATTTTCATAAATTGATGTTACACTCAGCAAATTTACTTTTAGTATGAGGTATGAATAGGTCAAAACATCAAGACTGTTGGGGTCGGATCCCACACATTTTCGGTAGGATCCACTAGGATCTGTCCACGTCATTATTACATAATAATCCTCTCGGAATTCAAGATATTCTATTATAAGTATTGAACTTGACCGGTTGGGAGTTCGATTCAGTTCACTAGGAGAGTTCGATCTTTGCCAGTATGGAGTTCGCTCTTATTCGATATATAGTTCGCATAGAGAAAGGCCGAAGCGAGGAGAATACTGTTCGAGGATCGCAGTAGCGTCAGAGCGCGGGAGTTCGGAGTCAGCAAGAAAGAGTTCGGAAAGCCCACGTGAAGCCCAAAATAGTTCAAATTCGAGCCGTTTCGGTCAAGTTGTAACTTATATGATTAATGCGGATCAATATGATTATGAGCAGTAAATGACCGCATTAATCATGTTTTTCTCTATAAAAACAACCTCAAACGCATGTGTTTGGGGAACAGACTTCTCATAGATTATTACACCTTACAACTAAGCAATACAACATACTTTCTCTCTAGCTATTTCGCAAGGCTTTGCATACTTTGCTCTTATCAAATTTCTTTACTTTTTTCTTGGTTAAATTTCCTTTCAAATTCCTATATTCTTTTGTTGATTTTAAGAGTTTTTCTCCACTGAAATACTTAAAGATAATCGAGTGTGAATCCTACATCCACATTTTGGCGCCGCCTGTGGGGAGTTACCGCAAAACTCTTTAATCTCAAATTCCTTCTTTCCCAACCAAGAAACTATGGCTGAGCAGCAAGCGTTGAGCGATGCAATTGCCTTGCTTAATCAGACAACCACCAATCTGACCAATCAGATGGGTACACTTGTTGATTCCAACACCACTTTTGGTGCAAGGTTGGACTCTATCGAGCAAACCTTGACGAGTGTTCAAACCACCCAGACAAATTTGTCAAACGCGCAGAACGTTGTTTCAAGCCGTTTAGATAATTTGTCTTCTGCGCGGAGAACAGCGTATCAACGCAGGCTATTCGTAACACCCGCACAAAACAGGTCCGGGAATACTCAAACTACTCCGACAGGCCAGCCTGCTGGCAATCAGGCAGCCGTAGGGGATGGAACTAACCCAGCCGTGGAAGAAATTCCCCAAGTTCAGGAAAATCATCCTATTGACGACGGATTCCTTATGGAAAATCCCGATGTCGCATTCTCTGATGATTTCATCAAAGTTCGTCAAGAACTTGACGAAATGAAGTCGAAGTTTCATCAGGCGACCAGTTCGGCGCCTGAGATCGATCGAGTAATCGAAAAAACTCGGCGAACACTTTTCACCTCGAGAATCTCAAACCTTCGGATCAAGGATTCTCGAAAGGTTAATTTACCAACTTATGATGGTAAAGGAGATCCAAAAAATTACCTCGCTGCTTTTCGGATCGCTGCTGGCAGAATCGATCTAGAACCAGACGAGGAAGATTCCGGATATTGCAAACTATTCTCTGAGAATCTATCCGGATCGGCCCTGCTATGGTTCACACAGTTGGAGCCTGGAACTATTGATAGTTTTAAGGAATTGTCCTCGGCATTCCTAAAACAATATTCCATGTTCATGGAAAAGGCAACTTCTGATGCAGATATTTGGAATCTAACCCAAAGTCAGAATGAACCACTTCGCAAATATATCGCTAAGTTCAAAGAAGTGATAGCCAAAATTCCTGGGGTATCGCACACTGCTGCCCTATCTGCTTTAAGAAATGGACTCTTGCATGAATCCCGATTTCGGGAAGAGCTCATCGTCAATCGTGCAAGTACCATCCAAGATGCTCTATTCCGAGCCAGCAATTGGATGGAGGCAGAGGAAGAAAAGCTTAGCCTCGCTAAAAAGCATCGGCCAGCTAAATTAGCCGTTGCAAATCCAACAAAAAAGTTCGAACCAAATGATCATAAACGATTTAATCCTGCTACTAATGCTGTAGGAAAACCTTCCCCAAATAGAGGAAGATACAATTCTCCTAATACTTGGGTTCGAGATG